AAAAAAAAAGGAGGTGGGAGGGGGTGGCGACAAATAGCTTGGTTCACCCTGGGTGACACTAATGCTATCTACACCACAGCGTGTGAACAGTAGGCCTAAATAAGTTCTTTATTTTAATAAGTGGTGAGTCAACACTGCCCACGTCCGAGCCAAAACCAAAACGACAGATTTCCTAATTCGCGGGCTACTATTTGCGGATGATGCGGCACTAACAGCACACACAGAAACTGGTTTGCCACAACTCGTGTCAAGCTTCTCCAATGCCTGCAAAGAATTTGGTCTGCAAATCAGCTTGAAAAAGACAAACATCATGGCCCAAGACACTCGACCTCCACCTAACATAAAAATCGATAATGAAAACTTGGAGGTTGTGGACAGCTTCACCTACGTGGGGTCCAAGGTCTCCAATACACTGTCCATTGAAGAAGAAATTAACAGCAGAATCGGCAAGGCAGCTGCCACAATGGCTAAAGTAAATAAACGGGTCTGGCAAAACACCAAGCTAACGGAGAAAACCAAACTGTGCGTCTATCGAGCTTGTGTCATCAGTACACTACTATACGGGAGCGAGACATGGACCACCTATACATCCCAAGAGCGCAAGCTTAATAGCTTCCATATGAGATGCCTGCGTCGCATCCTTGGTATTAAATGGCAAGAAAAAGTGACTAATAGTGAGGTCCTAATGCGTGCGAATACCCAAGGCATGTTCACAATCCTTAGTGAAAGACGCCTGAGATGGCTAGGTCATGTTAAAAGAATGAGTCCCGGCCGCATTCCGAAAGACCTCCTATATGGTGAACTTGCCTCGGGAAAGAGGAAAACAGGTCGCCCACGTCTGCGATTTAAAGATGTCTGTCAAAGGGACAAGTCTGGTGCCAGCAGCCAGCCGACTCAATCGGGGGATTTGAGCCGTGGTGCTGCGGTCTGATGAATTGGCCACTATCGGCAGTCGCCTCTGCCGATGGCGGCGTCGGCTCACCGGACCAGGAGTGGGTCTCTACTCATGTGGAGTTGGAATGACCCCAGCCAGATGAGTCCGCCCGGCGGCCCCTGCGGGATTCCACGCCTCCGTGGGTTGCGGTTAACGGGATGGCCGGTGACCGGGGTCGTTCCCCTCGGACAACGGTTATGCGTTTCAATAAGGTCTGATCCGGTGCGGCCAGACCGAATAAGCGCAGGCGGACAGAACGGGGTCAAGGGCGGGGGTCGTTGCCTCCTGTTCCTGGCCGGTGGGGTGGGCCCCGGGTCGTGTCTCGGTGTTCTGTGCCCCATTGCGCTGGCTTGTTCCTGCGCTCAGGACACTGGTGCCGGTCGCTAACGGAGAGAGTCGAAGTCCCACGGAAGGTGAAAGGCTGGTTTTGTGGCACATGCCCCGCTGTTTCCGACAGTTTTGACTGCGGCAGCTTCTAACTTGGATATACGTCTGGCCGGAGTATTGGCAGCGCCGCGGCGGCGGGAAGATCTTGATCGTAGTCTTCTGCCCAGCCTGGTCGGTTTCACAACCGGGCCAATTTGTACAAGTGGCTCCCGGATACGTGGGGAGTTTCACGAGCCAGGCTAATCCGCGTCCATTGTTTACCAATGGGGGGGGGGGGGGGGGGGGTCCTTGATCCTGGTTTTGACTTTAACGGTTACGAATACGTCGGACCGGGGTCCTGGACGCTGTTCTTCGTGAGCGGCCGTGCAAGAGCGTCCTGCTCAGCCACGCTTCAGCAGATATTAATGTCAAAGGGACATGAAAGCAGCCAAAATACATACAAGTGACAGGGAGTGTAAGGCAGAAGACCGATCTACGTGGCGCACTGTTGTCAAAGAGGGCGTCATGGTAGCCGAGGAGCGAAGAATGAAAGAGGCTGCAGACAGAAGAGCTAGGAGAAAGGCCAAAACATTTAGAAGCACGGAACTCGTGTGTAAAAATTGTGGTAAAGACTGTCACTTAAGGATAGGACTGCACAGCCACTCGAGAAAATGCAACCCAACCCAACGGTGATGCACCATCGTCTCACGAGACGGAAGGATGCCGATTAATTAAATTGAGTCAAATATTACTAAAAACCTCTTGACCACTTGTTCTGCTCATAAAAAGGTCAGGATATTAACAGACACAGTGACAGAACACAGGAAAATAACGCCGCCTGAATCTGATCTAGAGAAGTAAAGCCAAACTACATATTTTGATGACCCATGTTCAAAATATGTATATGAACATATTTAATTTTCATTATGGGGGCCATCCATAAATGACGTCACGCTACTTTGACCGATTTTGGACACCCTCCACCCCCATTGTCACAAATTCTTCACATAATTTAGACACCCTTATAACAGTTTGTCATGAAAGTCCTTTATAATAATGCAGAACATCCAGCGTGTGAGTTGGCGGATTTGTAGCTAGGCTGATTATCCTCACAGTAACAAGAGTCCACGGAAAATTAAGGAACACTGGCATACCACGAAGAACGGAGCAACATATTCAATATGGTAGGATAGTATAATTCAAGATCTTTAATTCCAATCAAACAACCGCTTCATAGGGCAGGTTATAAACGAAATATGGAAATTAAAACGAATTCAATAATTACTTGATAGGTTTTCAAACGAGAGAAGAGTACTAAGCATTTGGTTTACAGGCGAAAAGACCATGTCACCAGAATTTATCATTATAACAAAATTATTATTTTCTATTCTGAAGCGTGAAAGAGAAAACAGAAACAGTTGAAGCCAAGAGACTCACAGGCAAACGTAAACATTTCAGCCGTGGCATCTTGGTTTCGGTAGATGTTTTATTAGATGGGAAAAAGCTGTGCAGTGTTTATGGAACCATGAAGCCAAAGTAAACCATGGATAATATTGTGAAGACACCACAGGACAAGTATTGCTCCTGGATGTTCGATGGAAATGAAAACGACACAACTGGACACTGCAACAGGGCGGAGCTCCTTTCCACTTACACGTTGCAAAGGAAGACAATAACTTTTTTTTGTTTTTTTTTTGTTTGTCCATCGAGCCTTCATATGGTCCACAAATAGCCCGGCCATAAACCGTTAGCTTATGCTTTTGGGGCGCCCCTCAACAAAAATTAGACTTTCTTGGTCAATTTTCAACAACAGAACTCTTGAAGTTAGCCATTGTTCAGAAAAGTCAATAGTTGTATCAGTGGTTTGTAAACAGTATTGACCAGTGGCCCAGCAGTTAAGCGAAAAAAAACTGTTGGGAACCGAGGAGTGGGCCTACACATTGATTTTGATCTTTGATTACAATAATTTTATTTTTAGAAACATAATGATTTTGTTAAAATGTACCCAAAAATGTGTACAATTATATAACATGGTCCCACCTTTTATGCGTCACCATTTAGTTTTAGCCTATATATATACATGTATATATATCTGTGTACCGGTGTGGATATATATATCTATATATAATGGGCGCCCGCAGAAAACTTTCTAGGGGGGGGGGCAAAAAAAATCGATTAACTTTCCGGGGGAGGGGCAAAATTTTTTAAAAAATGTTTTAATATAGTTTTAATTTACTGTAGCGTATTTGTATGGTGAACGAACGGACAGGACATCAGCTTGGTTACTTTCTCTTTATTTTCTCTTTACTTTAATACATTTTTTGTCTATTTTTGTCTAAAAAATGTTTATCCAATCAATCCAGGGGGGGGGCAAGTGCCCCCCTTTGCCCCCCCCCCCTGCGGGCGCCAATGATATATATATATATATATATATATATATATATTGTATGAATAAAGTGACTTATGGTGCTCCTTGGAGCCTACACCCCTTTCTCAATCCGTTTAGCATGGCACGGTCTTTATAATACGCAAGTGTTCCTCGGTAGTTCTAAATAAAATTTGAAATGACGCACTCAGTGCCGCACTTCGCGGCACTGCACTGCGTTTCTATTATTGTTTGCTTCTAAAAAGCCAAGCCGAGTAGCAGTTGAAAATTTATCTTCGTGTGGTTTTAGCCTAGGTTTAAATTAGTTTTAACTATGAATTATATATTTTTCGCTGAAATAATGGGCCTACTAAGGCCTTTTCGAATTTAAGGAAAGTTCCGCTGGCCACAGTTAAGTAACCGCTGATTAATTACAACTACAAGTCTCAAACTGCAAAATTATGCCGATAATTAAAAAGTCCATATTTTTAGATGTTAACAAGCACGAAACTCCAGTACGTAATATTATTAGTGAGACAAAAAATGCTATAGTCATTAATCGATTCAAAAATAAATATTAGAGACTTTATCTTATTATCAGTTGATCCAAATGTAAAATCTAAATCGAATCGAAAGCAACATTAACAACGTATGACGTATGCAAGCCAGAAGAACAAAAAATAAATAAATTATTATTTACTAATCAAACTAAGTTAAGTTAAGTATATGTTAAATTTTATGTTAATAATAAATTTATGTTTTCTTTATTTGCATGTTATTGATTTTAAAATGAAGTGTATGAGTTTCCCTAGGTTTAATTTTTTTTTTTTTTTTTACAGGAATAATTCACTGAAAAACAGAAATTCCCTTACTGACATTAACATGTATTATTCATCAAGGTGCGAAGAGTCTGGATCGAGCATAATAAGGGGGAAAATATATCAATGCGCGGATAATAGATGAAAATAAATTTATGTTTTCTTTATTTGCATGTTATTGATTTTAAAATGAAGTGTATGAGTTTCCCTAGGTTTAATTTTTTTTTTTTTTTTACAGGAATAATTCACTGAAAAACAGAAATTCCCTTACTGACATTAACATGTATTATTCATCAAGGTGCGAAGAGTCTGGATCGAGCATAATAAGGTGGAAAATATATCAATGCGCGGATAATAGATGAACTTTATGCTCTAAATAATAATAATAAATAATTGAAATTTTTAAAAGGCAAAACATTTATTATAAGTTTTTTATATCAATAAGATAAATTTTAATTGCTAATGTATTTTTAATTGGAAAAAAATGCATTTGGGACTATTTTGTTTTCTGGTAACTATCAATTGCTGTGCTTCGAACTCGCGTCTGTTCCCGCAATCTTCTGCAACAAAGTAGGATATTTACCCTAGAGAAACTATTGTAAACACATTTGGGTGGCTGCAGAAAACTGTGGATATTTTGTGAACAACATTTGCGATCCTTTCCTCTAGGTAAATTGTTTTTTATAAATTATTATGATTAAACTGTTGCATTTGTTGATTTACAACCTGATGCCGTTGGGTGATGGGATAAATGTCCTTCAAAATGGCGGTGTGTGCTGGATTATTCATTTTTATTTCTCAATGAATACATTATTTCCAAGTTGAATTATACCATTTGTCAAATTAAGCTTTATAATTTTTTGTATTAACTTCCATAACAAAAAGCTTAATCATTATGGCATTGTTAGAAATCGTAGTTTAGCCAACACACCTCGCCGGTATCCCACAGATATAATTTGAAGTGAGGTAAGCGTCCATAGATTCTTACAGTACCGCTTCCGTATTCGAAGTTGCAGCTCACAAACTCGGATTACACACACTTGCCTAGTCGGATAATATTTTGGAGCCGTTTCTTTCGTTGTAAAGTCAGTAGACGTAGTTCATTTTTGCTTGATATCTTAGTATTTTATGGCTATGATTATGAATAATTCGCAGGCAGTCATAATAATATATTATTAATAATTTAAATAATAGTTTTGATTTAGTTTAGCGGCTGAGCTTAGTATTTGTAGTTTAGCAGAAGTATGTTAGTATGTTAATAAGCCTACAAAATGAACATCAGCTAGGTTAGTTAGAGTTAGAAGGAGCTGGTTGGTTACAAACTGTGTAGTACATAGTGGGTAACTTACAATATAGTGGGCCCTATCAGTAGTGAGTAGTGTTGTTGATTAGTGGTGTGTTACTATGTGGGTTGGCTTTGTAAAATATATCAAAACATACACATTAGTCATCAGACTTAGAGATAAGTTGACTGGTATGAGTATGAGAGTTTTATCAGGTCAGATCAGCCTAAACTTAGATTAACTTACTTAAAGACTTAAGTTAAACTCTGAATTTAAGATTTGTTTTAGGTCTATTTTAATATTTGAACTTGTATGCCCAGTGTTAAGAGTTTACAAAGTTCATATTTATTATAATTAATACAGACATTAGCTTTTTACTTGTAATTAGTATGAAGTGGCTAATTTAGTTATCATTGTATCTGCATATAATCAATCATGTTAATATTATTATTGAAGATTGATTGAAGGCTGAGGACTTTCAATAATTTATTTATCTCTGTCTGTTTACACATGATTTTCACACATTAGATCAGGTTGCAGTAGTCAATAAACTTGTAGCAATAAATGCATAGCTCTTAAATGTACAAGGAACAAGTGGATGGCCCATTTCCTCAAGTGTCAAGTGTGTTGAAATTTGTTTAATTCATTTAATCTAGTTTTATGAGTATGCCTCATCCTGTCTTCTGTGGTGACAGTATATCTTCAACACTTTATCTTTAACAATATGATCACTGCACCTTTGTTAAAAGATATTAAATTGGCTACAGGAAAAAATATTCAGCCCAAAAGGAACATATTAACAATAATTATATTATTGCATTTTTAAAAAAAAACAAAGATCTATGCAGAAATAGAAGACAGACATCATCATTTCTTTAAAATCCAAAGCAAAGAAAGCTTAATTTTTAAAAAATATTTTTTATTTAATGCTAATTTGCAAAAGTAATAACCTGTAACATCAATACCTTAAATGTGTACAGGCTAAATTTAAAATTATAGTTTGATTTAAGAAATAATTGTTCTAAATTGTCAGCAGATTGAAAGATGTTACTTTCTTTTAGCATTAGTAATTCAGACCAACTGGAATAATCATGTTAGGGGGACAGGGTGACTTAATTTTTTTTAAAAATTTCAAGTGATGTCAATTAATATGAAGCTATCATTTTACTGTCAGATATATATATATATATATATATAAGTTCTAGACTAACTCTAATAATTGAAATATTTTCTTTATCTAATAATATTGACAATTTGGAATAAATCAGCTTTTGATGCAGGCAAAAAAATCATTGAAGAGACATTTTTTCTTAAAATTGAGCTTATGACAGACCGCTTTGAGCATGCTAAAATAGCATGGACACAAGCGCTTTAAAAGTAATCTATCATCATCTTATAGGTGAACAAATTAATTAGGTTATATTTATACATAAATGATCTGAACTATGTATATGGAAATTTTAATTGGTTGTAAATAATAAGTGACCAGCAGAATTGTATTTTTAAATTGCTATTAAACATGTACATCTTAAGTAAGGAATAAACCTGTTCTCAGGGATCGTGGTGGAGTGAGTGAGGGTGTAAGACAAATCTCACCATGACAGAGATAGAATCACTAGTGAACAATGTGAGGTGGGACCCTGGAGTAGTAGACGATGATTTTGATGCAGGCAATAATTCTTCAAAACTCTTTGAGCGTTCCAGGATTAAGGCCCTTGCTGGTAAGTCTTTTATTTATAGCAACGTAATCTTTGATTGAATACATTTTGACACCCTTGTTACATCTGCATATGTGCCAAACATTGCAGTTCGGCCATTCAACTAGTTACTAAAAATGTGTTTAAATGATGGCAGTTTAATTTCCTCGATTATTTTTTTACCCCAACATGACCCTCTTTTGCTCTATCCCACCTCATGTTCTTGATTCTCACTACACTAGATTACTCCCTGTAGTTCCTGGGACATAATTTCCCTTGCTCTATTTTTACCTGTCTCATATGCTGGGGGCAAGTGAGCTCCTGCCTGCTGCAAATTTTTGCTGGAATGTGACAGAGTCTGCTAGAACCTTGGCTTGGCGGATCTCCCTTCTGTTAGCAGTAAGCCAGGTTTATGGTGTTAAATTCGCCATTCCTGGAGTGGTCAGATGTCATAGTAAATTAAATTTTTAATACCCACATATTTTTAGAAGAGAAAAAAGCTCTTTCAAAGTAAGGGAAACCTGTTAGACTTCTGTAAGTGAACAATGGTTACAGCTTGGGACTGCTTTATGAGCACAGAGAAATGTTGGCACATATTTTAATTTGCTCCTTCTTCTTCTTCTTCTCTTTGTCTCTCTTTCTCCCCCCCCCCACCTAATCAATTTGCTTTAGTGACAGGGAGTTTATTTTAAATTTTTGACTTCATATCATTAACAATTCTTAGAACATTCCAATGGTTGCTTGAATGATATTTAACAATTATAGCTAGATGTTTAAGATATGTTTGATACTATGAAACGTTGCCTGTGTGTGTTCAAGGTGAAGGTTGTGGACTGGGGTAACAAACATCTCTATATACAAAAAATGTAAACACTTGGTGACTGGTTGATATCCCATATCACGATAGAGTACCCTGAGATGTACCGTGACGTTCTCATGTTGCCTAGGGAATGTTTTATCTTCACCATTGGTAGTGCAAGGCAGAACTTGCTGGTAATGTGATAAACACAATATGTCTTCCCCTCATTACCGTATCCCTCATGATTGTTGGCAATTAGAAAGAAATTTCACAGAAATAGTGTTAAGTTTAACAGAAAGTAAGAAGTGGAAGGTCTTAGTGTTATTGCTATACTACAATTGTTTGCTAAAATTAGACCAAAGGGCAACAATTAATTTTTAAAGAATCAGTTCTGCCAACCTAAGCGTACTATTGTGCCAGAAGGCTTAGACTGTGAAGCTGTCAGTAATACTCATAGACGCATCAAATATAACTAATGATCACAGTAATAAGGGAATTCCTTGGGGGTGGGGGGATGGCCAGGGTTTGAAGGCACGTGTGTGCGTGTCTATTAATAGTATCAAGCTCTCCAACCACCACGACTAGGATTGTTTAGCAGTAACCGACTTAGGGGAAACTACGTGTCGGAGTGAGTCATTCGGCTTGAAATCGATTTTGCTTCCACCCGTTTCCCTGCCCGACCTAATTTCTCGCTCCACACGGTGGTTGGAGGCAATGGCATCAGTTGTTGCTGCTCTTCCAGGCTGAGGGGCGTCTGGCACCGGGTCAACTGTTTTGCTACATCGCCGCTGGAGGGGTATTGTTGGCTCTAATAATTGGGATATGAAGTAATGGATATGGAAGTGACCATGAAAATTTAGATATTACCGTCGTTTATAATTGATGGGGGAAAAAAGAGAGGGGGTGGGGGTATGTTTATACATTGTTAAGGTAGATAACGTTCCTTGTATTATCTCAGTACTGTTATTCATTTAATACAGGCAGAATAAACATTTAGTGTCAAGATAAAAAAAAGCCCTCTGCGGCTCTCACGATTCCGATCAATATATTCAGCGACATATTTGTATTTTGTGAGTCAGAGTATGATGAATCTCTGACGGGGCATTCGCCGTGGCTCTGCTCACAGCTGTTATTTCATCACGAATACCATCGTTCAATGGCGCAGCAGAGATTAATCGGTTTTCCCTCTTAGTTTATCACCTTTATTCGTCTCGTTTTAAAGGAAAAAAAAAAAAAGATTGTCCGTGACTTTTATTGATGAAGTATTTTCAAATGGGTTGTAGAATTTTTAACATTTTTTGTTTGAACCTTGAGCTCACTCTGCACACGTTAATAAATTGTCTCTACACATTGTCCATCCCCTGTTTACAATAATTATATGCTGCTTATGTATTCTTTTCTAGAAAATAATGTGTTATACTGACCTGTTTACTCTTACGATTTTGGCGTACAATGTAACGATTCAGAGGCGTATAGTTAAATATACTGTATTTTTATTTGTTTACTATTAAGATAATGTATTCAACGATTTTGTGATATTGTACGATTTTAAGAGTTTGAGGGTAAACAGGTCTGACTTATATAGCCGTGGACTATATTATCTTTCTTCTCAAGCGGACATTTTGCCTCTATCCTATGCCCGTTCGACTGAAGCCACAATATCTCAGGGGGAATTTGTCCCATTTCACCCTCCAGCCCACCCCTTCTTTCTGGCCATCGATCTAGTCTAGCTATTGATCACCAATGTTATACATAGCCATAAAGCCTCTCTCCCTGTAACGCCAGCTGCCCTGGTGTGTCTGTGGTGTGTGGCCTCATTCTCACACCAAGTTAGTGGTAGCTGGTCGCTGGCCATCCAATCGGTGCTGTTGGACGGTTATGGGTCTGAGTTAGACAGGTCAACAGTAACAAAACTAGATTGTTTTCTGTGTATCACAATGATTGATTGGCTGTTTTATACTAACACTTCTTTGCTCCTTCGCTACACCCCCCCCCCTTTTTTTTTTCTTTGATACCAACACAGTGCTGGTGTTTTGATCCCCCCAGAACTACTGTCCTAAATTAGGGAGCTGTCTCATGTGCCTTTTAAATAGCACAACAAAATTTTCCCTATTTTCAGTAGTGTCAAAATTTTTGTTACATTTAATGTTGTCTTGCATTTTTTTTTGCCACCGTACTCCTTTTCTTGCACAAACCCAATAAATTGAGCATTTTTTTAATTTCGATATATCGAATTTTGTTATGATTATGGTAATCTGCCATTTCAGCGTTGGCTTTTCAAAAATCGTGTTTTTCGGGATTATAGGGCTGTGTTATTCCATTACTAATCCAAATAATTGAAATTTTTTGTAATAACATTGTACATATTCATTCCAGCACAGACAATATTTATGAACTAGAACAATTAAATGTATAAAAATAATAATATAATATGTAAGCAAAAGAGTTTTAGTTTATCATTGTCTCCTAACTCCCCCCCCCCCTTTTTTTTCCCCCCACTCCTATATGTTAACAATAAGAAGTTATAAGAGCCCGGCTGGTGACAAGCTGTCTTTCCAGGTTGCGTCATCCACATATTTTCTACATTCTGTGTGTTGACACCAGTGACCGTGTCATCTGGATCAACGAGGTTTTGTTGATGGACCACAACAGAGAGTTCGTTGATTCCGTGTATGGTCTGAGTTATGTTTGCATAAGCCGCCCATCCGTCTGTAACAATGTGTGAACCTGGTAGAATATATATCTCTGTGCACTCTTATAAACTGATCCCACATCGGTCTAGCACTTCAATGAGAAGACAGCGCCCACCTTCTCTTTCAGTGCCAGTGAAAACCCAGTGCCCCTCTGTCCACTGTCCTCGGTGGTATTTCCGGTCAAATGGATCCCCAGACCCGAAAAACACGATGTTTGAATGGCCGGCGCTGACGTAGTAAATTAACGTTTTCGAAAATACGGCTCAATTATTTATTTTCTTTTTTCATTCAACGATAAGTCTTAGCGGGATTTGCTATGCGTCGGTCCCATGGCTCTTATCGTGTAACACGTCAACATGGGCTATGGGGGTTCTTGGACACACCTCCACCTCAATGACTCTCTGAATTGTTCTAGCTAATGCTATACATGAGATATTTGCCTTGGTTTAATCCACGAGACAATACTGTGTTGTGCCCCCCCCCCCCCCCCCCCCCCCCGATTTCCACGCACTTGTCATCGGCAGTTATATGTCTAAATATTCAAACACATGCCGTACACATTGTGTGGTCTGATAGAAAGTGTCACCTTGGACGGGGCCGACATTAATTCACAGTTAGCATGGCCCGTCACATCTTGTCTATGTCTCGGTGGGTCCAAAACTGAGGTGCGCGTGGCCCTGATTAGATAAATAAACCAGGGGACAAGTAATATGAGAGTGGCAAATTCCTTTTGTAATTTACTCTTGGTGAGCTTGTAGTCACATAGCTATGGAACTATGACTACTCTGCTCGACGGTACTTGCTAAACGATCGATTGGCATCAATGGTAGTATTATTTCGAATGTTGCACTCGATTTTCTCCATCATTGCATTGTCGTCATTGAGTTATATTTCATTTATGGATTCTTACTCATGACCCCATTCCACGCACCATTTCCATTACATCGCTTTAGTATCGTAATTAGAGCACTTACGTCGCTCACATAACATCCTAGTGATGAAGGAAACACTGCTTGCCTCTGTTTAAGCCACAACCCCTCCCCCCCCCCCCCCACCCTCTTCGCGAGATCAACTAATGACACATTTAGCTGTATCGACAGAATGCAATGTCTATTGTGTTAAAGATGTGTACAAATAGTATACGCGTGTGCTGCGATATCGTAAGCCCCTTCTTGTTCAAACATGCATACGGCGGCGGCGATGTCATAGGTCCCATTCGATAGTGAACGTTTGTTTGGATTAAATCAAAGCACCTAGTAATAAGTATTCTACTTTAAAAAAAAAAAATCATGTCTCTACTTCATTTCAAAGAAGTTAGACTTAAAGGTTTATCCAGAAGCGTCTTGTCATCATCCATCTATGTCTTCAATAACGGATAGACGCAAACGAAACCAGGTAGTGGATGTCCTTAACCTTCATCTGGTTAGTTATTTCTTGTAACAATCCCTGTCTTGAACATTGTCCTCTTGGCAATGTCAGCATGTGACTTGACCTATCTTCTCCCCCCACTTGTCCAGAAATATCCACTACCGTACTACCACACTGTGTCAATGGCGGAAATAAACCACACTCGCCGTCAGACTGGTTCCGCTGGTTTAATTGAGGAAACGAACAATTATCGGACTCTTGGCACTTGGGCTCGAAAGCCATACATTCTGTCCTAACTCAGGGGGCGCTTTAGGGCAGAGTTTTTGTTGACAATGGATTATTATTTTAACTTATACAACATTTAAAAAAAAATTAACATGTTTTATGACAATGAATTGAAAAGGTAGAGCCGAATAATATATGCATATATATTTATAAAAGTAGAATATATATGTATTTTACTCTGTTACGATCTGGTAATCAATTTTTAAATTTTAAACTTCACATTGGAATTGTGACCACGTTTTTAGTTTACTAGTGCAGTAATTGTTTGTAAGGGGTGGGTGAGGGTTGCGTATTATACATTTCAGTAGCGTCCCGTGTCACCCACAATAGCCTATGGTTGAACTGTCTTAGTACTTGACTCAACGGTTGGTTCATTGACGTGAGTACCGGTACATAATGAAGGGAGTATAGGCCCGTAAGGCTTACTTGAGTAGCTACAAACTGTTCCTTTCTCAATATTGAAATCATATAGTATTGTCACCAAACATAGACTCACACAAATTCAAGAAGATATATTTTATCACTTGAGTCAAAAAATGTATTATATTTGACCCAGACAGACAAGAAAGCAACTTGAATAAAAGTAATACAAATCACCAATAGGAAACTGATTGTGCCACTTATTGACCATGCAAGCCCTTATATTAAATACACACGTTACTGTAGATCTACAGAATATTAAATGTCTAAAGAAGAACGTTAATGTGTATGAAAATAAAATCACCCGAAAGTTTGACTCTGGTGAGAAAAGTAGGTAGATAATTATATGTGGAATTTCGTGAGCAAGAAAGAGACTGACTTCTAGTGTCAATATTGCCATAATTAAACACACACACACACACAATTTGATGCACAAGAAATTGAAAGTCAACATGGGAATTATTGCATAAGCAGTGGGTACCTGGCTCAAATGGTGAAATGTTTCAACATAAAGCTGGGTGCTGGCAAATGACCAAATAACTACTAGAATGTCTGTGTGATTCCTAATAAATTACATCATTAAAAAGATGGGGAGTCTGTAATGCAGTATTCCTTGTAGCAGGGATGGTATAAAACGGATATTGATGGAATGGATCGTATGACAGTATACTCAGGGCGGGAGTCACCATAAAAAAATGATGCGGTAACTTACCGTTAGTTTTGGTCCAGCATGGTAAATCGCCGTCTACAATAGACGTCCATTCAGAGTGGTCGACCACAAGCTAAAGATGAACACTGACTACAGTGGCAAGACTCTTCCTACAGCACACGTGTTAGTAAGGACAGCTATTGGTACTTGAGTTTTTCAAGTGTACCACGGTTGTAGTGTTACCCATATTTGGCAGCGTTATTCATTGTTAACGTACACAACGAGATTATAACTGGTGATTGGTTCGGGAAATCCACAGATTATAATGTAACCGATAAAAAGAGCCGGCAATAAATGCCCTTAAAATTCTCATTTTGTAAGATATGTGCAGTGTTATCTTAGTTATCTGGCAGCCATAATTTCTTCTCTTTTAAAGGCGGAGACGCCGTGTATCGTTCTCTTACCAATTGTGTAGTTGAATTCACGTAGTAATGTCAGTTTCTATTCACGTCAAGTTTGCATAGAGTTACAATATTTGCAATATAAGATTTTGTGCACGGTACTTGCGTTTTATTCATAGTTTTACTCCGTTACTATTTGTTGCTTTCTTGTGCTTGCTTTTTTCTTGAAAGGCCCCGGTGCCACGCTGGACTCTGCTGCATACACATCGGCCAACCGTGTTTTCGTCAAATTAATTTGTGTGACTTTCCTCCTGAAATGTTAGACTAGTTATACGTAGTTATACAAAAACCTGAATGATTTATTTTTTTTAACATTGAAAGTATTGCACCAAGCGTTGTTTTTTTTTTTTTTAGGAGCCTGTGATGACCCGAATGTAGCAATGACTATGTAGTTTTGTTGTCATCATATGCAGTAATTGTAGATACTTCATAACGAACGCTGTTTGCCTATTTATAGCAGTTGTTCGTTGTTTTGTTTAGAGTGCATATTAAGCAGCCGTCTGAATTTCTAGCTTATTGCAGTATTTGTTGAAGTGCTTCAATGGAGTAGTGGGCGAGTGTTTAAATATCTTCACACATCCATGTGGTAAACGTGTCCTCAAGAGATCTCCTGACAGCGCATTCCCGGCGTTACATTTTGTCAGAAACAACCGTGCGTAAATAATGGCTCTCCAATAGGACATCTGGTACTTTGTAATGGATATTGGAGGAGATTACTCCACCACCCCGCAATATCAAGAGAGGTTCTTTAGGTCTAAGATCAAACAACTTTCAGGTAAGTTGTGACCTGTACAGTGGGATGTGGTGGCCGGTACAAGGTTATGAGCGTGTGGTGGCTAGTACATGGAATGGGGGAGGTGATATTCCGTACATGGATTGGGGATGGGGTACCCATAGACTTAACAGATCGACTTATGGTACAAGGAGGGTAAGTGTAGTGGTGAATCCAAAATGACTTGCATCGTTATTTTTCTTTAGCTCTAAAGGAAATATTAATCTGTTGTTGTTTTTTTTCAAAATGAATTGAATTTATAATATTGAACTTTCGTGGTGTGCATGTAAATCGTAACCAGAGAAGGAGCCTGATCTAAATAAACCGTTGACTTGATTTAATAGCTTAAAGTGTCCGTTGGGAAGGTTGGGAAGCCTGTGCTCGAGCTTATTATTTACCACGCCGTGGGCATACTTCATAACGCCATGTTTGTTCTGTGTAAGCACACCAAAACAGCCCCCCCATTAAGCGGCCATTTGTAACTGCTTGCCAGCAAACTGAATTAAGTTAAAGGGGTTTGTGACCGTGTAATAAATGGTGTTATCTACTGTGGTACCCTGAAAGTCGTCCACCGGGCCATTCAGGGACACGAAACTCTAGATAAATTTACAGTCTGGTGTGTCCCAGTGTGTGCATTTAATTAGGACTAAATAATGACAGCAAGTTTATACACATGGAGTTTGATAAGAGAATACGACCTTTGTAGCCTTCCTTTATATATTTTTATAATGCATCCATTTTCTCTACACTAAGTACTATTAATGTTTTAGACCGTGGTGGGGGGCGGGGCAGCATTTAGCTTATATTCATGGGTGGTGGTGATTTATGCTATTGACAATCCACTTACCGGCACTGGAATATCTGGTCAACTAAGAAAGAGGGCTGCCTAGCTATGGCGCTGAATTTTGTTGAAGCTTACCACAGCTTCATAGGGAACTGCTTAGATTGTTATTGTTGTGAAATGGTTTGCTCATATTCGCCATCTCACTATAAAATCTGTATCAGGTGATAGGAGTTGTTAATTCAGCTGTGTGTTGATAGCTTTACCGTAACGCGTGTCACATCGAGCCCCATACTGCTGCAGAGATATCCGGTGTATGAGTCATATGCCCTTGTCCCTATATAATACAATAATAATGTCAGCCTGGAATAATCCGGTGTCAATACCCCCCCCCCCTTTTGTTTGGGGGGGTATTGGAAACATTGGTGGGGGTAGCCGTTTCCCATCAAAAGAGTATCTACGTCACCCATCAGTGCGTCACTCGATTGTGTACTTGTGTATGAATATCACAACCCCTTCAAATGGATGGTGTCATTTTATAACTTGGGTTTTTGTACACACTTTCAATTGGATTATTTGATGTAAGAATAACTAATAAATCATAATAGATGCAATACCTTTATATCTTCATTAAATATGTAATATATACATACAAATAGTTAAAACTGCTATTGGGCGTTGAACCCAATTCGTATGGCCCCCCGTCTCTTTTGTGCTGCAGCCCAACACATTTGCTTTGTAGTCCATGATCCAGTTAATGACTTGATGAAAAAAAAACAACACATCTCCAGTACAACACATTATCTGGTGAGATCAAGAGCATATCAGACACTGTTCTCGGGGTTAAGAGAAAATCCATTTTGCCTTCATAAGCTATAGATCAACGTGTCAGGGTCGCTGTTAATGTTTCATTGGGTGTCCCGTGGGACTCGCACTGTTGGAGAGACGTTGTCTCGGGTGATGTTGTAATGCTATTGGTTTGTGTAAGCAAACACTAGTAGTTTAGATCCGAGATATTTGTATCAGGTCGAAATTGATGTGCTTCTAGTTTTAAAGAAGTATCCTATTAAATAATGTTATGTGTACACCTGGTGGTTGAGGGGAATTCGTTAAAAAAATCTATTCATCACTTAATCTTATAATATTATTGTGCACCTGGGTCTTTTAATTCCATTTTGTAAACAAATAACAATAAAAAAAAAAATTCAAAACGAAAAGGGAAGTTGAGTGCTGCCTCAGTGAAGTCTGAGTACTGCCACATTAAAGTCTGAGTACTGCATCAATGAAGTATGAGTACTGCCTCAGTGAAGTCTGAGTACTGCATCAATGAAGTATGAGTACTGCCTCAGTGAAGTCTGAGTACTGCATCAAAGGGCTTAAAGTTTTATATGATGTAGCCCATTAAGAGTACATTGACATGTCTCAGAAATATATGAATTTTAATGACAATATTCCTTGAAATACAAACATAATGCTACTACAAACATTACTAATTTGGTAGGTTTTGAATACCGTAACGTTTTCAGTGGCTTTCAACCACATGAAGGGCAAAAACTGAAGTTACAATTGCTATATCGAGTATAGACGGTGCCGACAGACACCACCAGGGACCTCCTGTACGCAGACGACCGTGCGCTGTATCAGAAGCGGATATGCAACGCTGCGTCACAACTTTGCTAATGCTTACACAAACTTCGGGCTCACCATTAACACAAAAAAAAGACTGAGGTCCTATACCAACCAGATCCTCGAAGACCTTATGTTGAGCCCAACATCCAAGTATACGGCGAAAGCCTTAAGGTGGACGTGGTGAATGGCCTTTCTTATCTCGGCAGCACACTGTCCCAAAGCGAAACCATCGAGGACGAGGTTAACCCCCGTCATGCGAGAGCCAGTGCAACATATGGAAAATCGACTAAGAACGTACGGACCAGGAGAGGCATCAGCACTCAAACTAAACTGAAAGTATAATCATTGCAACTTGTGCCAAAATTAAAGAATTTAATAATTGTAATATTAATATGCCACCTGCATATCAGCGGGTTTTGAATTTCCATTTCTAAAAATACGGAAATGGGTGGATTTTAACATTAGTCTTGAAAACCCTTTAAAATCAACACCTTGGGGCCCGATGGATTTGAATATATCTCCACAAATAACTCCTGAATATGATGTCTGCATGGCAACCATAGTAAAATCGTGTTCAGTCAATTCTGAAAAAAAAAATATATATATATGGCACCTTTCAGCCTACATGTTTCAGCTGTTGTGTCAAATGATTGAAGTGACATAGGGACCATTTTATTCTGAAGTTCCCACTGACTGGGACCACTTAACTCTATTCAAGTGATATTCAATATACTGTGAGACAACTGTAATTTGCTTTTGATTTATTGCTAGTCATATTTCTTAGTGAAAATTTACACGTCAATTGCTGTTTGATATATCAAATTATTTTAACGATAAAAGTTAGGGGGGAAAAATCCTTATTGATAATTACGAGAAAGTTGCTAATTTTAGCGGGGTGTGAGGCAGTACACGTCTAAATGAATTGCACTGTATCTGCTACTTTGTCCAGGAACTATGTAAAGAAAAGGGGAAATTAAAGTGCATTTGAATGTCATTATCGTCTATTCTTTTCACTCTATGTTGTGAACCACCCTGATGAACCGCCGGGTAAACCAACATATGAACTTGCTGAGGGCGTCGCGACACGACTTAATCAGGTCACAACACAACTTAATCAGGTCGTAGCGACCTGTCAAGCAGGCGTGACACACCCATTTAGTTTTTGCTGACAATCACCGAGTCTTCACGCGGCCCGCCAAGATGTTTAAGTGACCTTCTTAAATCATAATAATGTGCACATGAAACGAATAAACGATGCCCAATCACATAGATCTCATTTACTATCAGTTGTATTTTTTTTTTTTTTTAAATTATCTCGTTTAAACAGTTACAGTTAAATTGGACGTGCTCATTTATTTATCATTTTACCAACTGGTGTTTGGAAGGATGAGAATTTGATGTGAATTTGATACATTTAAACCGTTAACTAACTCAGTAATTGCTAATACATCATAATAACTAACTCAGTCATTGCTAATACATTATAATGGTTGGACGTCGTTTGCAAGATTATCGAGCGTAGTGTTTACCTGTTGTTTTTTTACTATGCTACTGGCGCCTCCTTACAAATTATTTTTACTAAATCTCACATTCATCATTCGGTATTGACAGCACTTGGCTGTTACCAAATTGCATTATTGATGGTTTTCTCTGTGTTCCTCGTGTAGGATGTGAACTAGTGTGTAGTTGATGGATGAGTGGGCTGGTTGATTTATCTAATCAGCGGTCGGTAAAGCTCTTGTGATAAGTCAGTTTTTAAGCTTGTGGCCAAAGTTTGAAGAATAATCACAAAGTGTACACCCCACTTTAGACACCAATGTATAACTTACTAGATTTGTTTGCTTTCACGCGAACCTGTCACGTGATACAGACGTTTTAAAAAAAAAAAAAATTAAGTCGCTAGCGTTTCCAGGCGCATCTTTTCAGTCAATGTTTTTTTTGTTTACTAGGTTTCCCCATGCCGTGTTGCATTATGAAGTTGAGGAGGTAATGTGTAGCAATGGGTAACGATTTTGTGCCGGCACTTCGGCTTACGTGCCTCACTAACCCACGGGTTCTACTCTATGGGGGATTGGCACGGTGTCAAGCTTCCATCCAGCCTAATATGTGACGCCATGGTAGAAAGGTCACCCGCTCAACTCTCGTGTGGTTCGGGTCGTTAGTTGTAAAGCGGATTACTTTTGGATCCTCCCTATATTATTTTGCCTATGATATAAGCAAACTGCTGACTTTATTCATAACATTATCGCGGGAAATACCGGTACCGGGCTATGGGTGTAAATCATCGTTGACGTCGCTTTCTATAAGGTTTAAAGCAATCGTATCTGGTTCTCAAAATTAGATAGGACACCTTCATTTAAAAAAAAAATTGTGGCGATTTAAAAAATCCAAGGGGGGTGGGGGAGAGAACTAGATTATGAAAAAATAACATACTACATATATTTTATTTTAAGTCTAAATCATTACTCACATATTTTTTATGAATTATTACAAGCGTTTTCAACATATGATATTTAAACAGTTTAAACAGCTTTATAAAGTAATACTCTCATATGAACTCAGTAAATGATTTTCTTTTAACATTGACCAGCTTACTCTTGTGTCCGAGATGTGTTGGATCTGAATCCAAAGTAAGGCACTGCTATAAAAACTGGCACTTGGAACAAAACAAACCGAATGTTGTAGTATAAATCCGGCCTTTGTCAGTGTTTTCATCCCTGGAATTTCATTTTTTGATTACCTCTCAAAGTAGCCACTGTATGGCCAATATGTTTTAAAAGTATGAATGCCTATTTAATTGTAGTTAATGCTCCAGAACATACTCTACTGACTGCAGTTCCTTATGAGCAAGTATCAAAACACCCCTTGCAGTAATACCACTTAGAATCAGTCAGCCAAGTGACTTAACCCTACAGTCTTTAGTCTGTCTTCTATGCAATTTACTGGTAGGTAAAGGCAAGGGAGGCCTTCCACTTAGATACTTGAAAGGAGGCTTTAGATTAGACAAGCCTTTCAATGGCCTAGGGGCACAGTGGGAGAGATGGCAAGGCTAAGGAAGGCAACTCTGAGAAATGGGACATAACTTGTTAATGTAAATAAGGATGATATTTTAAAATTTCTGTTGATGCCAGTTCAAATTTATTTAATAAACAACTATTGGAAATTAAAGAATTGAATCATGCTTGATTTAATCTTCTAAAAATAATCCGACTATACATTAATTTGTTACATTTGATTGATAATATTTTACTCAAATTCTCTGGAGTAGTGGGAATGAACTTCTAAACATTATTGAATTTAATATCATTGTAAGAGTAATAGTAGAATATGACTGCGTGCCAGAGAGAGGTGCATGTTTAGCTGACTTAGCAATATTATTAGATTGTTTTAGAGCTAGATTTTGTATATTAAAAAAATGTGTAGAATTTGGCTAACAGATAGAAAGTGTGTAACCCCTACCACCATATCTATTATTATTTTTCTTTCATTTAAAATTTAAATACTGAACTTAATATTTTGGGGGGGGGGGGGGGCAGTGTAGTATCACAATTGAGCAATTTTAAAAAAAAACTATTTAGGAGTGAAGCCATCCAGATTTTTTTAACCCTGCACATCTGCTTCAACAATTGAGCTCTCTTTTAGGCTTCTCCTTTTCCCATTTGTATCATTACTAAATCCCTAGAGACTTCATAAATTGCTATTAAAAAAATAAATTGAGTTGTAAACTAAACTAAGCTTTAAAAAAAACTTAAATGACATAAACTAAATGACACTGAAATTGAATTTGTGAGTCATGTTGATAGTAAAATGTGAAGCCGCTATAGTTCAGGGTTAACATAATAATTTTTTTTATGTGATGGATGATTTCAAGACATGTGAAGATGGGCTGAATGGAATTCAGCTGTTACATCTTTTCATGTCTTCACGTTGTGATATTCAATAGAACTATAGAACTCTAAGGGAGTTCTACTTATTAATCTATTTATTTTATAATCTCATATACCAAGAAAATATACCTTATGGAACAGTCCACTCCAAGATACATAACAAGCAGTATGTTACAATGTTCCTTGCAAACTTTGATTTGTTGGACAACACTTTTAAATGGTGTTATGTTACTTGGCTTATTTCATTTATATCGTATGGCCTTTTTTAGGGTAAAAACATTTTTTTTAATTTTGCAGATGAGCGTGAGCTTGTTCAGAAAAAAACCTTTCAAAAATGGGTCAACTCACATCTGATTCGTGTCAATCACAAAATAGCAGATTTGTATGTGGATCTGCGGGATGGCAAAATGCTCATCAAGCTGCTGGAGGTTTTGTCAGGAGAAAGACTGGTAAGAAAGCAAACTAAATATACATGACTGGTGGCTTCTTAAACATACTCTTCTGTTGTAAAAAATACATGTGTGGGTATCATTTGTTTCTTAATGAAAAACACTGATAACTATTAAGGACTTGAACTTGAATGTGTATTGTGATTGCGTGTTGTCTGGAGAGTATTTGGGTAGATGTTGATATGAAATGTTTGGTATTTTGCGACGGATTGTTTGTAAAGGGAAATGACGTATTGTTGTTTTAGAGTTTGTTGTGATCGAGTAATGGCAGTTGTCAATGTAGTTTGGCTAATAAAGATACTTTATATTCTATGAAGCATTGGTTTGTGTAGTTAATTTAATAAATCCTAGACAAAACGAAGATAACAAACTTGGTAAGAACCGGTTCATAACAATACCCTGTCCTGTAGTCACTGTTTTGATATAACTTTAAAGTATTTTTTCAAAGGCTATTTAAAAAAAGCGTTGCTTAAATTCAAATTGATTAAATAACTTGTTTTCTTTATTTTTCTAAAGCCTCGACCTACCAAGGGGAAAATGAGAATCCATTGTTTGGAAAATGTGGACAAAGCCCTGACATTTCTACACGAGCAGAGAGTGCACCTGGAAAACATGGGTGCCCATGACATTGTAGATGGCAGCTCCCGTTTGACTCTGGGTCTCATCTGGACCATTATTTTAAGATTCCAAGTAATTTATTAAACAAATTTGTGTCAAGTCCTTGTTATAAATATTAATGCTTTTTGACAAGTGATTTTTAAACACATGTTAATGATGAGTTAATATTAATTTTATGTATTTAAGAGTTTAATTTATAAGTTCAGATAATTATTTTATAAAAGTAGATATTTTTATTGCAAATTATAGTTTATAGCTTGCATTGATGAGATCTTGCTTACTACTTATTCATCACTTGATACAATGCATTATTGCCTTTAAAAGGTAATTTATTTCCTTGAATTGATTCTAGATCCAAGACATTACCATAGAAGAAATAGACAATAATGAGACCAAATCAGCCAAGGATGCATTGCTTTTGTGGTGCCAAATGAAGACTGCGGGATACCCTAATGTCAATGTTCGGAACTTTACCACAAGTTGGCGAGACGGTCTTGCATTCAATGCCCTCATTCACAAACACAGGTACAAACTACTTGACAAAGTTAACGTTTGTGATCTGAAAAATGTAAATAAGCACTGTTGATTAACTTGTAATGGTTCAAACTGGTGTTAGTTCCCATCATGCACTAAATTTTCATTGTTTTAATTTTTTTAAATGAATGTTTGACAATCGGCAAATGAACAATGGAAATTTGTTTAATGTGGTTGCTTTATTAGAAATCCAACGACTCTAGTAAGTGTAAACATTTAAACCTATGCCTGAAACGTGGTTTGTAAACATTATGGGCTTGTAAGACTGGCTGTTGATCATTAAATTGTTATAGCCAACTGAAAGTTCACTTAAACTTTATGTTAAATTCAGTAATTTATCTGTAAAATACTTTTCATGTATTGATGAACAAATTCCAACACCAGAAGAGCCCTCCTAGTTTTGATTAATTTTTTAAAAAGTAATTAGCTTAAATGGTTTATAGAGCATTTCGGATGGCCAAATCTTATAGAATGTTTATTAACATGGAGATTTACAAGCAAAGTGTAGGAGGAGTAAAAAAAAAAACATGGGGGAAAAAAAGAATCAATGAAAACAAAGGGCTTCCTCTCTGCATAGTTTTTTAAAACTGTAATTTGAGTAATTTACTGGAAATATTGGTTGTTTTAATAGTGGATGGTACATTTCTGTTATTCTGGTCTCCGCCGGGGGCCGTCCTAACCCAAAGACACCCGGTCGGTCCGACACTGTTTGCACACCCATCCCGGGGAAGCTTTAGAGCTAAAAGAGGGATTCTAACGCTTCCCCGGGATGGGTGGGGGAAGAAATTAGGACATATATTTTTCCATCCCAACTTCTGAGAAAGTCGATCGTGTGCACTCTGTGCCAAACTAAACAATTTAAATTTGTAATAGCTACCAATTCTTTCTCCTACAAATTTACATTCATAAATTAAAGCTTTAAATGCAATGTTGAAAATTTCTGCGATGCAATTAAGGCATTATCACTTGCATCGAGACACCTTTTTTTAAATTTCAAATCCATCAATCAGGGCCATCTGCCCCCAAAATTTAAAATTGAGTTTTTTTCAAAATTCATTGGTATGCGTCAGCAAATTTTCTACTGTGACCTAATTTGACTTATCTTCTGTGAATATCCGCACTTTGTTAAATGTATTTTGTTTCTCTAATAAATTTGGTCTTGTATGTCTCTAAAATTTCAGTGTAATAGGATCAAATGTTATTGTAGCCTTATTAATGGCATAGAACCCAAAACGACTAACTTATGAATTAACAAGTTAGGTTTAGGTGTATGTTTAGGTTTTTATTGAGGCATCACATTTAGCAAAAGGAAGAGAAGAAAACTTGAATAAGTTTTATTCATTTTATGGTGCATGATTTAATAAAAATTACTAACAGTTTTAAGTTTGTTAATCATACAACTTAAGATAAAATGTTGTAATTTCTTCTCCAAATAGACCCGACCTGATTCAGTATGACAAGCTTCAGAAATCCAATGCAATGCACAATCTGAACAATGCTTTTACAGTGGCAGAGGACAAACTGGGGCTTACCAGTTTGCTTGATCCAGAAGGTAAAGTATTGTACAAGACCCCTTACCTCAAACATAAAAATTGGCTTTCAAGTTTGAATATTTCAATCTCTTCCTTATATAGTAAATTATTGTTTTGCTTTGAAGTGAATTTGCATTTAAAAGTTTTATTATTTAAACTAGATGTGAACGTGGAGTTTCCTGATGAAAAGTCAATCATCACTTATGTGGTCACATACTACCATTACTTCTCTAAGATGAAGGCTGACTCTGTTCAAGGCAAACGTATTGGAAAAGTAAGCTGAAATTGTTTTAGAGATAGTGCTAAGAGGGAGACGGTTCTTTCTTAAAATTCATATATTTCTTAGTTTCTCTTGTACTATCCTGTGCCTCAGTTGATTTCCCAGTTCTCTAACATTTATATATTTGTCGGTCGGCTTTTTAAATTAAAAAAAACGAACGATTTTTCAAAGATATAAATCTGTTTTATTTATCAAAAGTAGTTTTAAAGTGCTTCCTTTGTATCAAACAATAATTTTTTAAATATCTGTCAGGTCATTGACAATGCCGTTAACACAGAGAACATGATTGAGCAGTATGAGAACATGACCTCTGACCTCCTCGAGTGGATTGAGCAGACCATTGTTATACTGAATGACCGTCAGTTTGCAAACTCCCTTACTGGGGTACAGCAGCAGCTTGCAGCTTTCAGCACCTACCGAATTGTAGAGAAACCACCTAAGTATGCAATGGAATATGTGTATTTTAACCTTAATTTAATTAACATACTGTGAGTTAAACAGTTTGTTTTTTTTTAATGTGGAACTAAAGTAGATAAAAAGACACTCCAAGCTTGCAAGACCAAATAATACCTTGAAAGTTTGGAACATTTCATAAAACATGTCCAGCTCTTTAAATGGCTTCCCTAAAGTTCTAAAATGAAAAACTTCTCTTTCAGGTTTGATGAGAAGGGCAACCTGGAAATCCTGCTCTTCACAATTCAGAGCAAGATGCGTGCCAACAATCAGCGACCATACCTGCCCAAAGAGGGTAAACTTCTCTCAGATATCAACAAAGCCTGGGAGAGACTTGACAAAGCAGAACATGAAAGAGAACTTTCTCTCAGAGAAGAACTGATTAGGTTGGTTTTTTTTACACCTGAACTCTTTTTCAATCTTATTAACAAATTGAATTTGGTAGAGATTTTTCTCTGTACTCCAATAAGTTTTCAAGTTATATGAGATTTAAAAATTACTACTATGTATCTAGTTTTCAGATTTTACTATATTTTTTTCCATTTCTTTACAAACTTTATAAATTCAAGAAAACAATTTTGTTTTCAGGCAAGAGAAACTGGAACAGCTGGCAGCTCGTTTTGGACGCAAGGCTGGTATGCGTGAAGAATGGCTGAGTGAGAACCAGCGCCTTGTAGCCCAAGACAACTTTGGAAATGATCTGGCTGCAGTGGAGGCCGCCACCAAGAAACATGAAGCTATTGAGACAGACATCAATGCCTACGAAGAAAGAGTTTCTGCTGTTGTGGCTGTTGCCAATGAGCTGGAGCAGGAGAACTACCATGACATCGATCGCATCAATGCCCGGTAAATTTACAATTTAACTGTAAAATAACTCCTTATTGGCTAAATTATTCAACTTGGAGCTAAAAATTGAGGCAGGCAGCTTGAAAAACTTAACATGATAATGGGCTAGGCGACTTAGAATCAGAAAGTTTTCAAAATATTCTCTATAGATCTTCTTTTAATGGCATTCTAGACCTCTATGAAAATTAAGCAAAGCACTTTTTGCATTCATGTTAAAATAATTTTTGTTTTCAGAAAAGACAATGTCTTGCGTCTCTGGAACTACCTGCTTGAACTTCTGCAAGCTAGACGAATGCGTTTGGAGCTTACCCTCAGCCTGTACAAAGTCTTCAAGGAGATGTTGTATATTCTTGACTGGATGGAAGAAATCAAGGTAATTAATTGAATTCTTACTCTGCTATATTTATATTTGAACTGTTAACATCCAAGTAAAGTGTACCCCTTCTATCAATCAATTTTTGTATTGAGAATTGTAATGGAACTTAATTTAAAGTGTTTTCTGAAAATTTTTATGACCTTTTTCTTTATAGGCCAGACTGATGTCAGAAGATTATGGCAAGCATCTTATGGGTGTGGAAGACTTGTTGCAAAAACATAGTCTTCTGGAAGCTGATGTCAATGTTGTTGGTGAGAGGGTTTCCACAGTCAACTCACAAGCTCAGAGATTCATTGATGATGACTTTTCGGAAATAGGAGGTGAATTATTGACTTCTGTTATTTATTAAAATCATCTATACTCTATAAACATTTTTTAAAATTTATTTTTGTGATGCTAACACTATTGTAGAAGCAAAATTTCCTTTTTTTTATTATCAATATGACCTAAATGTCTACATCTTATTTTCATATTAAGTGCAAGTTTAAAGAAATTTGTAAGTACAAATTTGTAAATTTTTGTATTAAATTTTAAGGCTACCGGCCTTGCAACCCAGATATGATCAAGGAGAGGATGACCATGCTCGATAGTGCATATGAAGAGTTGCGCCAACTTGCTGCAGACCGCCGCCGTCGCCTTGAGGAATCTCGCAAACTATGGCAGTTCTACTGGGACATGGCTGATGAGGAAGGCTGGATTAGGGAGAAGGAACAGCTGATGTCATCTCCAGACCTTGGGCATGATTTGACAAGTGTCAATCTGTTGCTGAACAAGCACAAGGTAATGTTGATACATTTAAATATATAAAATATTAGTATTAAAATTTTCAACCCGTAAAGCTACAAATATGTTTATATATTTGTTATTCTCCAAAATTTCTTCCTTATTATTATTTTTTTTGTCACTAATTGTAGGCCATGGAAGATGAGATGACTCATCGCCACACTCATCTGCAAGAGGTCCAGGCTTCCAGCAATGAACTCATTGAAGCTGGCAACTTTGGTGCTGACCAGATTGAACAAAGAAACAATGAAATTTCGTCACAATGGGAGAGCCTTATTGACCTTGCAACTTACCGGAAAAAGAGGCTCAATGAAGCTGTTGACTTTTACCAAGTGAGTAAAACTAACATTGCTCTAGAATCAACAAAGTTGTGCTGTAAATACTTATAATCTTAAACACCTTCTCTTTGCATCACGTCTTCTGTTGTTGTATAAAAACTTTCTTCCGCCTTATATTATTAACTTTAATTTATACTTAAAGTTTGTAAATTGTTAAAATTGTTTACTTCAGTTTTTCGCTGATGCTGATGATGTGGATACCTGGCTTATGGACACCCTTCGTATTGTGTCAAGCGAAGATGTTGGCAAAGATGAAGCCAGTGTACAATCATTGCTTAAGAAACACAAGGTAAATGATGTTCAAGTGTTATACATTAATTGCCTCAAGTTTAATGAACATTCCATTATAAATTAATCAAATATTCCATTTTAAATATGAATAACTTTAATTACAAGTCATTGGTGACTTTGTAGTGAAATTTTCTTGCGATTCAATTAAGATATCTTCGACATAAAAAATTTTTTAAATCAAACATTCAAAACTTTACTTCAACTCTCATTTTGTATTAATTTTTGAACAGGAAGTAACAGAAGAACTCAAGAGTTACCAAAGTGTTATTGAAGGTCTTCACGAACAAGCTGCCAGTCTTGGAGAACAGGTGACTAACACAACTTTTCTCTGTTTTTTTATTATTGAACAGTTAATTATTGAGTTATTGCTCATCCTTAAATGAATGATTGCTTTTTTTTATTTTTATTTTTTATTTTTTTTTTATATATATCTTTTTATCAGCCGACAATCCCTCTACTTTTGTCTATTAATTTTATATAGAGAGGAATTAAATAAGCTCTATAGCTTGCATAAAATTATTTCATCCATATTTGATCTTCAACTCCTTCTTAATTTAACAGGACCGTGAGTCACCCGATGTACAAACCCGACTTAGTTCCATTGACAGACGTTACCAAGAACTTCTGGAGTTTTCCAAACTGCGCAAACAACGACTCATTGATGCACTTTCGCTTTATAAACTTTTCAATGAGTCAGATGGTGTGGAGACATGGATTGATGAAAAGGTTTGTTTTAACCATTTTGACTAAATTTTTATACAATGCAATAAAAGTCACCTCAGACTGTGCTGTTTTAATAAAATATATTTACTGCTGTCACAACACTAAACAATACTTATATATTATCATTTACAGGAGAAATTCCTTACTACTATCATTGTGACTGATGATGTTGAAGAGCTGGCTATCATGAAGCATCGTTTCGATAGTTTCGAACATGAGATGAATGCTACAGCATCCAAGGTTGCTGTGGTGAACCAGCTAGCTCGTCAGCTCATGCAAGCTGAGCACCCGAACGCTGCAGAAGTTGTGGAACGTCAGAACCAACTTAATTCCACGTGAGGATGCATCTCTAGTTGATTTTTTACTTTTAAATTATTAGTTAATCAAACGTTGTTTTTTTCTTTAACACTTAGAAGAACCATTTTAATTAGAGTCTTGCTAAGTTCCTACAAATGTTCTGTTTATATAGATGGAATAATCTCCGTGAAATGGTGGATCAGAAGAGAGATGACATTAATGTGGCTCATGACTTCCAGAATTTCAACATTGAGTGCAATGAAACCATCGTAAGTTGCGAACAAGAATTAAAGCTTTTTAACTTTTTTTTACTTCTTGAATTTCTTGAATATTTCATTTGGGAATAGGCACACAAAATATATGGACAAGTTTAAGTATTTTTCTCTTGTTAAAACAGAATGTTGTACTAATTTGGGAGTGCAAGGGTAATCAGGTCTGCTGTTATTTGAATTTCTGCATTCAAGCTGTCACCGTTAGGTTGATTGATTTTATTATTTTTTTCCTAATACAGAGTTGGATTCATGAGAAGGCTAAGTTGATTGAGTCCACAGATGAATTGGGCAATGACCTTAGTGGTGTAATGACACTCCAGAGAAGATTGAGCACAATGGAAAGAGATTTAGCAGCAATTCAGGCCAAGGTGAATCAATCAATTTTTGATTAATTAAGTTTGAAATTTTAAAATGTATTTTAAAAGATGCCAAGCAAAATTTTAAAAATACTTTAGGAAATTATTGCTTTTTGGGAGTATACTTTTCATCTCCAGCTAAAAACTTGTGTTTGTGTTTATTTAAATAGCTCGAGTCGCTACAGAATGAGGCTGAAAAACTAGAAGAGCAGAAACCAGAAGAAGCTCAAGCCATTAGAGAAAAGATTGCAGAGATCAACAATGTCTGGATGGACCTCAAGGATATGGTAATCTTATTTAAGCATTATCATATTCTCGGATTTAAAATCTAATTAACAATCAGGAACATTTTAAAAAAAAGTTCAATTAAAATTGAGTCTATCCAAAATTTGGAAGATGGTTTTTGGAATCAGTAGTATACAACAGCGTTCCAAAACTTTAAAGTTTGGCTGCCTTTCGGACAAGTTTTAAAATTGCACTAGGGCCGATGACAGATTTATTAATTAAATTTCTTTTTCATTTGAACATAAATTCATGTTGTACTATCATTTGCGATAGGCTGGTATACACCATAAAATTATTATCGTTTAAATCAATTGATTTAATATCCCATATGGAAATAAAATGCTACCCAAATCGATCTAAAACAATTTCTAAAATTATAATGGACTTTTAATTAAGCAAACTATATTTAAATTTTGGGGGACATGAAACTTTAGAAAATCTTTTTTTAAATAGGCTACCCAATTTATTTCATCTTTTTCAGCTCAAGGAGCGTGATGAGAAACTTGGTGAGGCTGGAGAATTGCAGCGTTTCCTTGGAAGTCTGGACCACTTCCAGTCCTGGCTGTCACGTACTCAGATGACCGTAGCATCTGAGGACATCCCCAACTCACTGGCAGATGCAGAGAAACTCCTTAGCCAGCATCAACAACTCCGTGATGAGATTGACACCTATGCCCCAGAGTATGCCAAGATTAAAGAGTTTGGAGATAAAGTTACTGAAGGAGAGGAAGATCCACAATATATGTTCCTCAGACAGGTCATTTGGAAATTTAAAAAAAAAAAATTGTTTTCATTTTAGCTGGTTAACTGGGAATTTTAAAGCTAATGGAGTGTTTAGGAAATTCAGGTGATCCTAGATTTCCTCTGTATTCCAATATTGATAAAACATTTAGAAATGTTAAATTATGATACTTTTTTTTAATTGTCAGTTTCATCATTAATCATTCTTGTCTATTGTAGAGACTGCAAGCTCTTGATGATGGTTGGCATGAGTTATTACAGATGTGGGAGAATAGACAACAGCTACTATCCCAGTCTCTCAGTTTACAAGTATGTATGGAGTTAATATCTACTGAAGCAACTGTAAAGATTATCATATTTCTAGTTTTAACATCCTTTGAGGACATTACTGGGATTTTAAAAAAAATTTTGATTGATTAAACTAAAATTTACCCTTGCGATTACAGTATGGCATATACATTGAAAAAACTTAAACAATTACTTTTTTTTTTACCAACTTATTTTTGTCGCTATCTTCTTGTTCCTACATATGAGGGCCATCCAAATATTACTTAATGTAAAATAAATCTTCTTTTCAATGCACGTATGTGTAAAATCACCTTATCCATCTATCAAACAACCTTTAAATATTTTTTCTCACTGCAAATGGTGTAAATGGATGGCCACAAATGGTAATTCTGTATCTAGACAATAATATGAGTCAGGCAATTTTCAGTTTGTAACATTCTATTTCTAGATGTTCCTGCGTGATGCCAAGCAGGCTGAGGTCCTGCTCAACCAACAAGACAACTTCCTATCCAAGGAAGATGTGCCTGTAAGTCATTTTAAATATTCACATTTCATTTCTTAAACCCAGATATTCAACATCCTTCATATTTTTTAAATGGAAATTTAAAGGGTTGAATTTTCATTCTTTCACTGAACACATTTGTCTTCACTGCACTTGAAAAGTAAGAATAATTATTTATTTTAATTTTAAATGAGAGGGATTTGCTTAAAAGAAAATCTTTTAAATGGACTTCATGGATTTCCTAGAAACAATTTTACTCCAAGATTCTAGAGTTTTTTCAGAGTTTACTAAAGAAATCTTGGCATATTGTACACGGTAGTTTATAATTTAATCTTCAATCAACAAGCTTTGGTTTCGCAGTACTAAAACTACTAATGACCTGATTGATTGTTACCCTTCAATGCTGGCGTTGTCTATGTTTGAACTTGGTCATTGTTCATAGATGTTCTAGTGCGGGCAATAACACTTGCATCAACTAATTTTCTAGCTTAGACTTTATATCTAGGCACACCACACCAGCATGTAGAATGAGGTCATGTGAACATGTTTGTCAAAGTCATTGTTTTGTGGTGCATGGTTTAATCAAATTTATCAATGTCAGCTACCATTAATATACAGGAGTAAACAGAAAATAGAGAGATAAAATTGAGGTTTAGCCACAATGAGCTGTGACTTGAACTGAGAGGCTAACTAGATTTGAACAATCTTTTCCCAAAATCCAAGATAGTGGGGTAGATTTTTTAAAAATCAAGGTTTATATTATCTGCTTAAGTCATGGCGACTGATTTTTTAAAAAAATTATTAAATTTGGAGTATGCTAATGTGCTCAATACTTATATCAAATACATTTCTCATATGGAAAGTCTGTAATGAAGTGAGTCAACTGCATAATGCTTCTGCAACCTTTAGCAGAAGTCCCAATAGTTTTAAAGAAATATTTGTTATATTTCCAGGGAGCTAATCGCATGTTGCTCGCACATTTGCAAGCTCTAAGTCCATTATCTGGTCCCCAAACTGACAATATGTGGACCAAAGTAACTCATTTTAAAAATTCCTGCATTTAGCCATAGCTCTATAATTAGAATGCCTATATCAGCAGCTGAGTAGATGCAGCCCTAAACATATTTATGAATATATCATTTGAAGTACATAGCAAGTTCACTGCACATTTGTACCATATCCTAAAACAAGTTCTTATTTTTTGTAATCTGGATCTGTTTATAGAAAGCTCAATTCTTGCACTCTTCATAAATTATATAGTTTACTATTTTTTTCGTTATATATTTATACAAGTGTATTTAAAAGAAAGATATTTTGCTATTTATGCAAAGTATAATTTTTAATTTTGATCCAATTTTTAATATCCTGCAATTCATTATGAAATTAAATATGATTTACTGGATGACTTATACCAAACTTTATTTCAACCTCTGAAAAATCCATGATATTTTTCCCCACAATATTATTGGGCACCAAACCCCTGGATGGTTTGGATTTTTATTGGGCTTTTTTTCAATAGCCTAATGCACTTTTTCATCAAATCTTTAAAATTTTTAGTTTTTTCTTTTATTAATTTTTCTCAAACCATATCTGTTTCAAATTTTGAGCCATCTTTATATCTTGTGGTCTACTTTGACAGATTGCGCCGCTAGATAAGCAGGTAACATTAAAGCTGATGTATCTTATAATGATTTCACTCATATTTAATGATTTGTTGCTTGTTGTGCCACGATTATCAAGCTACCTTAAGAAAAACTGTAGATGATTGTAGATTCCTTGAAAAGAATGTCTTTGAGCCTATTTTTTTATTTTATTTGTTAAATGCATTTATTTTTTGCCATCTAATGGAAGTTTAAATTCCATCTCTTGACCTTATCTTTAATGTATATATAATTGGTGATTTTCAGAAACTATATGTTGGCAAACACTTCACACCATATTATGATACTGACCCATCAGTTTTTAACATTTTTGACTCATCATTTCAATACATTTGTTCCACACAGATATTGATATTAATTTCTAATTCATACTTCACTATGGCGGTACAACAGTTGTAATCATAATATAATAATGCACACAGTTTGATGCACCGATTTCTAATTAAATGAGATATTCATATTTCAAAAGATGTGCATATAAGAACATAATTTAAGGTTGGGATAGTTTGTGAAATAGCTAGCACATCAAAGGTTCTTAGATCAAATAGCAATGCTAAACATCATATCCCTTACTGAGTACACTGAGTTTAAACATGTGCAAAGGTTTGATGTAAAATTATTTGTATATTGTTGCTCCAAAAAGTTGGCTTATTGTGACTGTTAATATATTTAATTTTGTTAAAGCTGTTGGGTAATTTACAACTAAATGACTATGTTTTGATAAGACTGGTTAAAATATATATAGAAACTCATTTATACACTAGCTCAAAGATAAACCTATTCATATATATTTACCAGCATGTCAAATTTTTAGTTCCTGCCCTATATAATAACAGCGCATATTTGATATAACCCTTTTATTTTATGCATGCATGCATGTTGTTTCACTTACCTCAATCAGCACTTATCTATTTAAAAAGGTATGCGGGAGGTAATGGTACTTCTTCCTTACCCCACTAGAAATGACAGAATGTTAGTCTGTCAGAAAAGTCACCCTTACTGCTTAGATTTACCAAAAACTGTGTCAGTGTTTTTTAAGTAAAGCTTGTTAGACACAGTGGAATCCCACTATAATGTGATTATTTTAAGTGTGAAGAATGGCTAATTCTTTTCTTTTTCTTAATATTTTTTAATCTTATGTGGTTACTGAGCTATGTGATGTTGAATTTAGACTAGTCTTAGTGAATATGTGACAGTTTTACAAGAATATACAATTTTAATCTTGGAAACAATTTTCATATGAGAATTAATATTCCAAATTTTGGAATCTATACCATGACCCCATAAAATCTGAATTTATTATAGAAGGCTGTGTTATACCAGTGCTCCACTGTAAACAGTATTTCATCAACATTATTTCATATCTAGAAATGTTTATCCCTAGTTGGGTGCACACAATTTTAAAATTGAAAGCTCATAATAAATGTGTTATTTTTGTTTATAATGCTTTAGAATTGATGTTGACCCCATAAATCTAGTCATTACTTTTTTATCTTTGACTTCTTGACAGTTTCAATGGGAGAACAATTAACAATTAGTTCTCCTATTTACAGTTCTCTCTAGAATGGATTGCTTGACTCCTCTACCTTTAATTTGGTTTCAAAGATTTCTAATTCTTATTACCATTTCAGAATCTTCAAACTAATTCTTTTGTATAATTCAGCAGTTCCCAAACTGTTGTCTCTATATTAAATTTTAAAGATTAAATTGACTCAATAGGACAATTATTAAATGGCAGCTACAGAGGAATAACCAAGGTAAAACACAACTGCCGTGAATAATGACCAACATATTGATGTTCAAGAAGTTAATGTACCAGTTTGGACTGATAGTCTTATAGGCCTACTTGACTACCCAATGGCTAATGAAGCTTTCCTCCCCTTCATCTTTGATGAAAATAAGTCTTTATAGCTATGCTTAACCACAATAAAATTAAAAAATCATTTATGTGGATGAAGCCCTGTTATTTTGCTTATTGAGCTGTTGGACTTGTAGCTTAATTTTAAAAAAGAAAGAGTCTTATGAAGAGTTCCTTGATTTGCTGAAAAAGTTTGGGAACTGCTGGTATAGAGTAATATAGATACTATTAAATGGGCTTTATATAAAGCAAGCCTTCTGATATGTTTAATAAATATGCTAGTGTCTTGAGATCACTGTGACAATAAATTATCACAAGTGCCAAAATGGGAAGTAATATAAAATAAGATTCAACCACCAATAGCATATAAATGTATTGTCATTTACTAGATGTAAATCATGAACATAAAACAACTGAAAATAATACTATTTTAATAAATGTTATTTAACATGATTATATTCTGCATGCATGACATTCCACATGACATCAAATATAAGTGATGGTTTATTTTAACCCAAGGCATTAAAAATACTGTTACCAAGTATATATATATATATATAAATGGATATATTTAAAAATATAAGAACTAAATTGAGTACTATATTAACATTTTTAAAACTGGTAGTTGCAGACACCTTTTGTACATTATTCTCTTGTAGTTTGTAGATGGTGGATAGCAAATGTAATGAATATGTTAGTATTTTTTGGTTGGTTGAGACATTACTATTGGAATTTTAATTTTTCTAAGCAAGATCAATTCTTCTATTTAGAAATTGTACACAATTAATGGTGCAATACTGTCTTAGTAACTGAACTGACTTTTTCAATGATTTAATGTATAAATAATTGCCCATGGAATATAATATTTTTTTATTGTTATATGGATGATCTAAATTTGTATGTGTAATGTATTTTAATCTTCATTTTTTTTAGACTTCTGTCCAAGCAGCAGAAAACCTCATCAAACGTCATGAAGCTTTTATTACAACTATGGATGCCAATGATGAGAAGATTAATGCAGTCTTGCAATTTGCCAACAGACTTATTGATGAGAACCACTATGATCGGGAAAAAATTCATAAAAAGGCAGAAGCAATTAATGAAAGGTTTGAAACAACAATTTTTATTTAGCATCTGTTTAACGCACCCAAAATTTTATAAATTATTTATGCCATTTCAAAAACCTATACTTTATTCTACTTTGTAAACTTTTTAATATATTTCTAATACTTTTTTTATTTAAAAAAAAAAATGTCTTAAGGCAAAAAAACAAATAGTATTTACTTGAAAAATTTAGTCCCAAAACCCTCTTATGAGAATGGAATTTGATATTAGTTTTTAAACTCTTTTTGGTTATTTAGATTTATTGTTGAAATAAAATTTGGATATTCAAGAATCTTTTTTCCTTAAAACAGGAGAGATCAGAACAGACAAAGAGCTGATGAGCAGCTTGAACGACTCAAAGACCAACTTACCCTCCAGCAGTTCTTACAAGAATGTGATGAGGTGACTGATTTTATAGTCTTAAATAGGATAGCTATCTAAGGAATTATACCTCTCTTGCACATGATATCTACAAGTAGATATTGAATTTTATTTGGTAAATACAAAGATTTTAAAGATTTCAAGTTTAAAACTATTCTGTCCATGTTTTTTTTAGCTTCGAGATTGGCTACAAGATAAGATGGCTGCAGCTCAAGATGAAACATACAGAGATGCTAAGAACCTTCACAGTAAATATGTTAGACATCAGGCTTTTGAGTCTGAAATAGCTGCTAATAAGGACAGACTCAATAGAGTTGTTGAGGTTAGTCACCAAGCTCAAAGTGTTGTTAAAAGTTGACATTCATTATTTTGAAAATATTTATCCAATTTTCATTTGAGCCAAAAGTGACAGAGTTTTTATAAAACCTGATTTAAAATTAAGATAAGAGATAAGATTCTTTATTGATCCAAATAAATGGACAAGTTTTTTTTATTGCATTGTACATTTTCATTTTCAGCACATAAATAAATACATATTAAAGCCATGACAATTATAACAATTTAAAAGCAAGACATCTAAAGCATTTCTCAAAAAAATGCTTATTATTAGATGGGGTTTAAAATTTATTTTAAATTGAATGCTCTTGTTTTAAAGGCTTAGGATGATCAGACATTGTTACTATTTAATTTGAAAAAATCTGATATAACTTTACCATAATAGTATTTAATTTTTGTTTCTAGGAAGGAGAGGCCATCATGCAAGCTAAGCCAGAGACTCGTGAACAGATAGAGCCCATGATTTCAGATCTATCTAACCAGTGGGAGGATCTAGAGGTTACAACCAAGGAGAAGGGTGAGCGCCTGTTTGATGCCAATCGCTCAACTCTGTATCAACAAAGCTGTGATGATGTTGATGGTTGGGTTACAGCTCTCGAGTCCCAGATTGTTACCTCTGAGGACTTTGGTAAAGATCTAACAACTGTCAATCTTCAAGTCCAGAAGCAACATGTAAGCCATGAAAGGAAACTCTCCCACTTAAACTCTTGTATACTTTTCTAACTCAAGTTTACAAGTGCCTAAGTTAGTCTATTAACTCTCACCTGTTGAAATAGCTTTCAATAATTTTTTCATTCTTATGTCCTTTATATATTTTTAACCAAAATTTCATTTACTTAATGCACAGCATTTAGAGAACCAAATGAAGATGAAAGAGCAACAAATACAGGAGCTGGAATCCCAGAGCGAACACTTGCGCAAACTAGAGCCAGACAAAGAGGAGGAGATTGAGGCTAGAAGAGCTCTCGTGGCAGAAAGGTTATTTATTGAATATCATTTTCTTCATTTGAAGTGAATTTTAAATAAATATTATTGAGCGTCATTTTAATGAAAAAATTATATTTTAAGAATTGTATTACATATTTATTTTCTTTGAAAGTGATAATTTTCTGTAAAAAATGTTACGTTTATTCCTGATCAGATTCTCTAAGATTCAAGGGCCGCTAATGATGCGTCGTGCTAATCTAGAGAAGGTTAAACGTATCCATCAATTCATGAGAGATGTTGAAGATGAGAAACTCTGGATTCAGGAGATGATGCCTCGAGCAACCAACCAAGATTATGGCAATAGTCTGTTGTCAGTACAGCTGTTAATTAAAAAAAACCATGTGAGTACCAGACTCTTCTCTTCTAATTCATGAACACTGTCTTGGTTTATGGACTTGTTATTTTTTTTATAATAAAGTTCTCTAGCTTTTCAGGGCAAACATATTTCTCAAGAAAGAATATCTAAAATGTTGTCATTATTATAAATAAAGTTACTGCTTTTGTAAAGAGAATGAAATAGCATTTTTACTTGGGTTTACACTTGGTCTGTAAGGATCCTCAAGATTTCACCCCGGTAAAACCAAAGTCTTTAAATAATATACTTTATAGAATCGTGATAAAGTTAGTTAATAAATAATATTTTGATATTGTTTTTCTATTTTGACAGTCATTGCAAGTAGAAATTGACAACCATGAGCCTCGCATCATGTCTGTGGTTCAAGTTGGCGCAGAGCTGATTGAGTCAGGCCACTCTCAGTCTGAGGAGTTCAGAGCTTTAATTGAAGACTTGTTAAGACGCTGGCAAGAGTTGAAAGATGCAGTTGATGCTCGCAACCAAAGACTCAAATTATCAGAGATTGCCCAACAGGTAGCTGACATATAACAAAGCTAGTGCAATTAAAGCCTGTTTTAAAGTTGTGTTCCTCCAAAGTTAATAAAAGAACTGTAATATTTAAGAAAAACAATTTTGAGGGCAAAGCTCTTGGTTTAACAGAATGCTTTTAGCCATTATAGCTGTGAATAGGCTAATGATAAATGTGTGCTAATTAATCTAGTGGAGATGACTACCCAGAAAGCAAGAAAATTCTTTGAGCTCACATAATTTGAAATAAGGAACTGTTATTGCGACCGTCATTTATAATAATCGAAAGCGCTTTATTTTTAGTAGCATATAATTCACCATATATTTATATTTCAAGTTGGATCAAAGTTCATTTATTTTTTTTTAATTATCTAAATGTAATTCATTTTTAAAATCAACAGTACTACTTTGATGCTTCTGAAGCAGAAGCCTGGATGAGTGAACAGGAGCTGTATATGATGGGTGAAGAGAGAGCTAAGGATGAAATTGGGGCTCAAAATATGATGAAGAAACACCAGATATTAGAAAATAATGTGGAGGATTATGCTGAGGTGGTTCGACAGCTGGGAGAGAGAAGTAGGGAACTTATGGAGGAAGAACATCCCGAAAGGTTGGCTACTAAAATAAAATATGAAAAAATGTTAGAAAGACTGCATTTTCTGAATAACTTGTGGTCTCTTGTGTCATTCAGCAATGTAGTTATATAATGCTCTGACCATTAATTTATATTTCATCTGATCTCCCCAAAAAAAAATCATTCATAAATAACATCTGTTTGATTTTCAGTGACCAAATAGCCGTAAGACAGTCCCAGGTTGACAAGCTATATGCAGGCTTGAAAGACCTGGCAGGTGAGAGGAGAGGCAAGCTGGAGGAAGTATTTAAACTTTACACGCTGCATAGAGAGATAGATGATTTGCTGGAATGGATTGCAGACAAATCCATTGTTGCAGGCTCCAATGAACCTGGGCAAGACTATGAACATGTTTCAGTAAGTTTATTGAAATTTTAAAAGGGCATAAGGATACTACATAATTTATGAAGCATAGAAGTTTTATACACTGATATTGTCTTTCATTTATTTTAACCCCATTTCTTTTTTGAAAATAAATTTCAGCTTCTTAAAGAACGCTTCAAGGAGTTTGCCCGTGATACTGAAAATATTGGTCAGGAGCGTGTTGCTTCAGCCAATGAAATCTGTGATGCCCTTATTGCATCTGAACACTCAGATGCAGCAACTATTGCTGAATGGAAGGATAATGTTAATGATGCCTGGGCCGATCTCCTGGAGTTGATAGACACCAGAACAGAGTTGTTGCAGACTTCTTGGGAACTTCACAAGTTTTTCTATGATTGTAAAGATACACTTGAAAGAATTGTGGTAAGTTAATTTGTTGAAAATTCACATACACATCTGGAAATAATACATACAACAAATTAAACTGACTTAAATGGAGCTAGGTCTTTGTATGGATATTTTTTTTTAATAGCCAGTTTGCCATGGAAGTTTTATCTAGATTGTGATTTTACATCTTTGAGGCGATGTCAATGCTTCCAACTTCAAGAATTAAATTTTCAACTGCAATCTACGGATTCTGTCTAAATACCATAGCTTTTAAAAGGCCAAAAATGAGTTAGTATGCTCTCTGAAACAGCGTCACTTTTATGTGTTAAGTGAAACACATTGATTTATATTTTAATGCATAGGCTTCAAAGGGCTGTTTTTATAAAATAAAAAATTATTCACTTTAAAAAATAAGTTTGTTACAACATCCTTTTAAATGAGTTTTAATTTAATGACAAATTGCTGGTCAGGTTTCTGAAACTTATTGCTATATCAAAAATTAAAATAAGGATCATTGCACCTCTGTTACTTACAACATTAAATTAGAATCCACAATATATTGTTTGAAAAATAGGCTTTGGTTAATTTTTATTGAAAAATAAGTTTTACACTAAATGTCCCACATATGAAAAAACAATATTCTATTAAAAAAATTTTTTAAATTGTATTTGTCAGTTTGATTTTATTTTATGTCACAACCTTACAGGAGAAACAGAACTACATCCCTGAAGAACTTGGCCGTGATGCTCAGAGTGTAGCTGCTTTACAGAGAAAGCATGCCAACTTTGAACATGATTTAGTCACTCTTGGAACACAGGTTGGTAGTTATTCAATGGGGACAAATTTAAAACCGATTAAGCAGTTTGTTTCTAAAAACAAAAGTTTTTGTTTTTTTAAAAATACTGAAACTAGATTTTAAAAGCATAAAATAGTTTAATTTAAATGCATCTTTTATAGCCTGTCATTGGAATTCAATTATTTTGCCTCTAGGTGGAGGCCATTCAAACAGAATCTGTGAGACTTCAAGCAGGCTATGCCGGAGAAAATGCCCAGACAATCATTGATCGTGAGAGAGAAGTACTGGATGCTTGGAAGAATTTGCACATATTGGTTGAGAGGAGGAGACTTACTCTAGCTGATGCTTCAGATTATTACAGGTTCATGCTTATGGCAAAGGACTTGTTGTTGTGGATTGATGACATCAGTCGACAGATGAACACACAAGAAAAACCAAGGTAGTCTCACAACCTTTGAATGTTTTCTAGAATTGTTATTGCATTAAAGTTATATATATTTTTTAAAATTTTAAATAGCTCTAGGTGAGAAAATTCATATTTAGAGTCTAAAGAAACAATGGGGATTAGATTGTTTAAAGAAATGTTAAAGAAATTCGGAATGTAAAATTGTGAATTTTATAATGAAATTTTTTTCAATATTTTTATATTCCAGAGATGTTTCTGGTGTGGAGCTGTTGATGAACAACCACCAGAGTCTGAAGGCTGAAATAGATGCTAGAGAAGAAAATTTTGCCATATGTATAAACTTAGGTAGAGATCTATTAAACAGACAACATTACAAACAAGAACAGGTCAGTGAGTGTTTGAAGTTCATCTAATTTTTGGTAACTGGCTAAGTAATGGCCTCCCGGACATCATAGAGTAAAAGGTATTATTGCATATGCCTTTCCTGGGTGTGCCATAATGTGTTTTGTTGTTGAATAATCTGATCATCATTATGTTTGTCTACACATTGAGAAGTATTGTGAAAGAAATGAACTTTTATTTTGTCTTGTCTATCTTTCATTTAGGTGAGGGAAAAGCTGATCCAGTTGACACTCCAGAGATTAGACTTGACAGATTTATGGAAGGAAAGATGGGAACATTTACAACTTAGTAAGCTTTTTACAAACAAAAATGTTGACATTGTACTAAAAAAAACAATTCTTGAAATAAAATTTTAGTCTTGGATTTCAAATGCAGTGATGGTTTTGTGTATAACAATATGTAATTTATAACATAAATAAAGTAATTGCTTTTTTTCAATTGCCTTTAATATAAATTTAGAATCATAATGTTTATTAAATGTTAACTATTTCTTATATTTTACCAATCTCTTAAGTCTTGGAAGTGTATCAGTTTGCCAGAGATGCAGCTGTGGCTGAAGCCTGGTTGATTGCACAAGAGCCATACCTGTCTAACCAGGACTTGGGTGTATGTAATTTTATTTGAAGTATATTTATAAAATATTTCTATTTCAGTAATCTTCTAACTCAATATTAAAAATCAGTTTAGTGTAGTTCGGATTATGTTTCAGTAAAATCTGAAGACGTTCAAACAATAAACGACTTCCTTGATAAATTAATATTATTGTATGCTTGTTTAACATATGTATTTAATATTTCTTCCTATTCTTAATGAAGGATACACTGGATGCTGTAGAAAATCTTCTGAAGAAACATGAAGCATTTGAGAAATCAGCTGCCACACAAGAGGAGAGATTTGCTGCTTTAGAAAAACCAACAACTGTAAGAATCTTAATTTACTTTTATATATTTAATTTTAATGTTAACTCAGCACTGGTCTAATCTTTTATTTGAAAATATTTGTCTTAACAAATTATCCACATGAAACATTTATATATTTTTTGCTCTCACATAGTTTGAAATTAAAGACAGAGAAAAGAGACAAGCAGAAGAATATGGCAGAAGTCACCCTGATGAGATTGCACGTAGAAAGGAGGACAGAAGACGGCATTACATTCAAGAATTCCTACCTCCCCCACCCCCACCTAAGTAGGTTTTTAATTAATTTAACTAAATATAATTATATATATGAAAATAACTTCTAATAATTTTTTTTAATATTAACTGTAGACATTTTTAGTTTTTATGGATATTATATCCACTTCTCTGGAGTTATTACACTGTCTAATTCAGACCAGAACCTGTTGTGGAACCAGAGATCCCAGTCCAGGCAGTAGCAGTGAGCCACTCAGCCCCAGACAGCACAGAGGAACCAGCTGGCCAGCCCAGCACCATTGATGAGAGATCAGAGTCTGAACAAGGTAAAACATTGATATCTTCTTCACTAGGATATCACTTACTGCATGTTGTTTTTTGCTAGACTCTCTCCATACTCAATGTGCTTGTGTCATGTTGTCCGTAGATCAACACCTCACAGCTCTTACAATACTTGAAATCATTTAAAACTCTTTTAATATTTCAAGGTACCTTATGATAATAATTAAATATTAAAGTAAAAAATAGAAGTGGATTTTCTGAATAAAAAGTATAGTCCCTTTTTATAAAAAGTATAGTCCCTTTTTATCTTAAGAAGTTTAGATGAATGCCTTTTGTCTTTGATGATTAGGTTCTTCTGTAGTTTTTGCTAATTTTAAAAGCCTGAAATATGTCATTTTTCTTTTAAAATAATAACTTCACAGGTTAATTTGTAACTTTTCAATTGTCTCTAAAAATATGTTTTTTCAAAATCAGAATAATGGTCTACAACTCACGTTTCAGCTATTTTGCATGTTGATATTGTGAAATAATCTGTTTTAAATGTTCCAGCCTTTTTTCTTTCTTTTTTTTTTTGTGCCAGCTTTATAAATGTGTCTTTCATAGCCATTGAGTCATTTACTGATCTGTTCTAGTAGATGAGCATGCTTGAGAGTGCTTTGTCAACTCTAATGTAGTTTCCACAATTATTATAGAATATTACACAATCAGATCAGAAGGGAAATTTCCATTTCTTATATTTAATAGATTTTTTTATTATTCTACAAGATAATTTTAATGGAATTTTCCCCTCTTACACTTTTTGTTTTAAGATTTAATTGTGCATGTATTACAAATTTATCAAAGCATTGGATTAAGTTTCTGAACATCTTTACGTTTCATTTTTAAGGTTAATCTCAAACTTGAGGCTTCAATGAGATAAAGAATTCATTAAATCTCCAATATAAGCAACATTGTAATTTTCAAAGGGAAGTTCAGAAACTTGTCCCCAAATTAACTTAATTCATTATTTTAACATTGCATGCTTAATGTTGTTAAGAAACTTTGTGCATGCCTTCAGAGCGTCAAGCTCATCGAGAGCAGTTGGCGGAAGCTGATGCTGGTGGTGGAGGTGACTCAGCTCACCGCCGCTCCCATGCTCGTATTGAAGCTGAGTCTCCTAGGGGCATTGAGCAAAGAGCATCTGCAGATGTTTCATCACCCAAGAAAGCACCGAGAGGAAGTAGGTTTGAGTATATTCAAATTAACCTAGACTCGGAAAAGATGTGGACTCATTTTAAAATATCTTGTTAAATTCAATGACAGAAAAACATTTAATGCAGAAACAAAAATCAAGTACAGCTTCCTTTAGAACCATCATTACAGAGAGTAACAAATCTTAAAATTCATGAAAAAGGTTAAAGAATACATATATCTAAAATAAAATAAAATTATTTTAATGATTTACTGTGTCCTCTAATGAATTGTATTTTTTACATTAAGTTTAATTGAATTTTCAAAATCTTTTTCACATTCAATTTTTAAAAAAGAATTATTCATTCATAAATTTAAGGCATAGATAGGCACAAATATAGTTTTAGTCTGGCTGCGTTAATCAGCATCATTATTGCTTAGATATCAGTCTGCGTGATTTATTGAAAATTCATGTTAATTTTATGTAAGATTAATGAATAGTTCGATGACAGAAATTGGAAATCTTTGCTTGCATGAATGCCTGCCTGCTCATGATCACAACTAATAGATGTTTTTAACAATCTTTTTCTTCAAAATAATTTTACTTTTATATTTAAAAACTTATATTTTTTCTTCCTATTGTTGTTATAATTTCTAAATACACATGCGAAAAAAATGAATGTATGGAATCCTTGGAGAGGGCAGAGTTTAATAACACAATTTTAGGCATCAAATCATTGCCAATGACAGGTTTATATCGACCCATATATTTTGAATAGTTTTTTTTTGTATATACATCTAGCCTAGCTTTGCTTTTTAACTTCAGTTTTACTATTACTAACTTTTTAACACTTTACTTCAACTATTTGAAATTTGATTTTAAAAATTTCTATATATTTTGCTCAAAATAAAATTTGAAAGGTGATGTAAATATTGTCGTGTGCTTTTAGCAGTATGAAAATAACATGAAAGATGACTCTGTATATAAACCAATTTACTTTCCTCTAAATAGAAACATGCCCTTACAGTCTTTTACAAGCTCTAATAATTTTGTGTTTACTTTTATCTCTTGTTTATTGTAAATTTGGAAAGTTTTTTTTAGAGCATAATTTATCAAAGAAGTAATATTCAAGTTTTAAATTTTATCATACGACAAGCAGTTTGTCTTACCAGTTTTAGGACTTTGTGATTAATTTTTAACAAACTGTATCTATAAAGCTTAATCTAGGATTAATGGACAATGGAAAGATAATAGTTATAATGGTCCATGCACACATTTTCTTTGTCATGTTCCACTTCTGACAGTCACCCTGATAGACTGCTGATTATTTTGATTAACAATATTGAAAGACTTTCAGTTTTTATTTTTGAAATATTTTTATATTGCTTATTTTTTATTTTGTTATCTTTAATCAATGTTAAATAACAGATTCTCTTCTATTGGTTTTGCAAGTGTTAAAAATCTGTTTTGACATGAATATTTCATTGTTTTGTTTAGTATTCATTAGCTTTGTACAGCTTTAGAAGTTCAGTTTTTTTGCTTTTTGTAGCTTTTGGATTGTGACACGTATACATGCTTTAGCCCAATTATTCTTTCATATTTAGGCACACTTCCTTTATTTGATGTACTTAAAACATGGTGCACTAATTTTTGTTATTTTGTTTTGGGAATGAGCAGCAGAAAAAAAACCTGTGCTATTAACTTTTTTAAATACTGCTTTTATTTTTTTAATTAACACATATTTCATGTGGAGGTTGCTTTGTTTTCTTATCAATTTCATTTGTGGGGCCTTTGAGACAGGCATTGCTTCATCATATCAGCTTATCTAACACTGGTGGATGAACGTGGATGGATGATGGCTTCAGAAATCTAAAGAAAAGCTTATCATTGTACTAAAACAACTGACACAACCTTGATATCCGATTAGGCGACAAGAAAGACAAAGGAAGCCTTAGTCCAGAGGTTATTGAAGGGGGTGAACTCAAGAGAAAGCGCTCTCGCTCCCCTTTTGCCAAACTGTTTGGTAGCAAGAGAGAGGGAAAGAGTAAAAAAGCTGGTGCCTCCCCGCCAACAACCCCAGAACCACCTATTCTCCAAAGATCCAGGACGCTTGGTTGGTCTTGTTGCCTCTATATAACCTACATATGTTATCAGCAAGTGTTCCTTTGTGGTATTGGGATATTCTAGTCTGATGAGATTTGGTGACACCCCTGTTGACAGTAATATAGCATACAAAATGATGCATGATACTAATAAAAATAAATCCATTGTCTGGCTTTGTAATGGCACTGGCATGAGGAAATATTTTTAAATATTGATGAGTTAATCATTTTAAAAATGCATCAAAATGATTGGGTAATATTTAAAAATGAATTATCTTAATCTTAAAGAGCTATTTTTACTTGCTGGGATTTGTTAATGTACCTAATGAAATAATTATAAAAATTATGTTTCTTTTAAAATATTATTGTCCATTTTTTTTCAAATATCCCTTTAATTTATTTCATGTACAAGTTTGGTGCTGTGCTGTTTCTCCTTTGTTATTATATGAATAATGCTAGTCAAGTCAAATGTTGAAAAAACTTTTCAAATAGATGTAAATCTACATATTTATGTTTGGTAGCTATGTATTTTTAGAAATGCTCTATTTGTTGTTAGTGTTTAAAATGCTCTATTTAATATGCAAGGCATTTTCTACTAGCTCACATAAATGTATTTATTTGTATTTTTCCTTTTTATTTTATCTTAACATGTAAAATGTTTAATTATCAAGTCTTTTATTTTTAAAATTGCTTTATGTTCATTAGAAACTTCAGCTCCATCAGAATCTATTCATGAGGAAGGCCATCTGTCAAGAAAACATGAATTAGACACAGGAGAAAAGAAAGCTAGCAACAGGTATGATTTGGAATATTTGACTAAATTTTCCTTTAGACATTGTAAGGTTTATTTTTACCTTTTTTTTTTTTTAGATTACACTGATTATGAGGTTTAGTTATTTTTTTACTCAAAGCACAAAAAAAATACGTATATAAACTTTTAAAAACTAAAAAGAAAAGAAAGCTAGCAACAGGTATGATTTGGAATATTTGACTAAATTTTCCTTTAGACATTGTAAGGTTTATTTTTACCTTTTTTTTTTTTAGATTACACTGATTATGAGGTTTAGTTATTATATTACTCAAAGCACAAAAGAAATACGTATATAGACTTGTAAAAACTAAAATGCATAATTATTAACAGAGAACATTCTGCAAGTTATCAGTTCTGGAATTGTTTGAATTTGTATGTTTGTTGTGTGCATTTAATGATATTCATCCAAGCCATTGACAATTTTAACTGCATGATTAACTTGTTACATTTTACAAATCAATATCTTAAACCAAAAAAAAAAAAATTATATTTAAAATTTAACTATTCATTTATTTAATTTTTTATCACTATTTTTTTTTTTAAATCTTGCATTTGCAGATCTTGGGATAAATTGTTTGTTGTTCTACACGGAGCCTCTTTGTCTTGTTATAAAGATCAGAAACATGCAAAGACAGTGAGTTGAAGTTCTTTATTTTTTCAATGATGAGTTTCTTCTTTGTATTAAACAAGCAAAGATCCAACTATTAGGTATTTAGTTTTAGTGAAGATATTCATATATTGTATCAAACACTTAATTGTCCTACTCCATGAATATGTGGGTTTACTTTTAAAGTTCTGATTAAAGAGATTTGTTATCAAAATACTTGTAGCAATGGGGTTAACTGTTCATTTTTTTATTTTTATTAAAAAAGACAGTCATGATTGTGAGATATGCCATTGTTTTTCTTGATCTTAAAAATATATATTCTTAGTGAGTTTAATGTGTTGAATGTTTCTCCTCAGGATCCCAACAACAGGGTTCACCATGAGAATGTCATGGATTTAGCTGGAGCTGTTTGCCAAGTGGCTTCAGACTATGTTAAGAGACCATTTGTTTTGAGACTCAAACTTGCAGATGGTGCAGAGTACCTTTTCCAAGCTAAAGATGAGGTATGTAAACATTAAATATGCTTTCTAATACAAATTTTGTTTGTGTAAGTGGAGAATATTTTACAATAAGTTGTTTGGCAATGGGCTAGTTTATAATAATAAAATAATGTAACGGAAAACAAATATTGAATATTTTGTCACCAAAAAAAATCATATAAAAACTTGGAGACATTTGTAAGAAAATTTAAATCTTCACATTTTAATTTAAAGTAAAAAATCATATAAAAACTTGGAGACATTTGTAAGAAAATTTAAATCTTGACATTTTAATTTAAAGTTAAAAAAATGATATGGCACCGAGACATTTTGAACCATTTTCCTCTGAAGCTTTCACTAAGGACTAAATTTTTTAAAAACATTCCAGTCTGAAAGAGAGCATTGGATCAGCCGTATCAGTGCTGCCAGTGGAAGGGAGGGAGGTGCTGCCAGCTTACCAACTAGGTCACAGACTTTGCCAGCCACCCGCTCAGAGAAAGAAGAGCCCAAGAAACGTGGTTTCTTTACACTCAAGAAGAAGTAGTCTACGCTATTCCGCTAGGCTTTACTCTAGAATAATTATTATAACATTAAGGATGCTGATAATAACAGTAGTTTTTCCCTGATGTTCTACGGCGTAAGAGACAGTTTTACTCGTACATTTTTAAAAATAAACACTTTTAATGGATGTAGCTATTCATCATCACCCATGAGAGGAAGAGTATTAGTGTCAAGTTTTTGTAGCAGAATCTCATGAATCTTCCTAGTTTTCCCAGCTTCTGCTTAGCATCACTGTTGTCATTCAATCATGGCTTCATGTATATCTGAGTTTGATGATGAAATGTTGTACAAACCTTCTTTATGCATGCCTGTGTGGAATGGGGAACTTTGAGGAAAAATGTGGAATAGTTTCAAAGATTCTGTTCTCGCTTTTTTACAAATATTTTTTTCCATTGAGTTAATCACATACAATAATTAATGTGAAAAAAAAAAAAAAGAAAAGAAAAGAAAAAATAGTTAAAATAGCACTGTAAATAAAGTGCACAGAGCCTGTTGTACATTCTAATCAAGCACATCGTCATGAAGGCAGTGTGTATTGTTACAAGCACTGGGAGGAGTAGTGTAGTGGTATGACTTCTTGAGAATAGAAACCGTGATTAGACTCATCTTTCTATTGTCCCAGAAGCATGGTTTGAGTGTGGTCAGGGACTGACCATCAGTCGGATGTTCTCATTATGCAGATGCCGCCACCACACTTACACTGGGACTGTTTCTATTATTTCAAAGACTTTTATCACGTCGGCCATTTTTTAAAAATGGTCTACTTTTTTATGGAAACCTGACATGATCTATTATTGGTAAATGAATGACTGTCAATCGATGGACGTGTCGTGTCCTAAGTATATTTGCTGTGCATATTAATGATTGAAGTTCTGTCAGTTTTCTTTTATCAACTTCCCACTTGTTTGGTATGGGGCAGTGGTCTAGTCATGTGATCATGCCCTTCGTTGTTTACAAATGTTGGTAGAGAGAGAGAGGGGCTGTGTATTGTTTAAATCATTTCCATGAAAATTGTGTTGTGCTTGTGTTGAGGATAGATGTTTCATCCCTTTACACAAAACATTTTTTGTTTTTTTCATTTAATGATTCTTTGTGACTATGAATATTCTTGCCCTGTAGACTTTTCATGAGGTATGCTTCCCATTAGCTCCCCACGTCCACTGTATTTTGAGTTCTGAATCACTGGAGGATAACATTCCCTGAAACATGAGGAGAGAAAATAAACATCACAAAACGGCAGTTTTCTGTAACAGCGCATTTCTTATGGAATATTGCGTTTGATGGGCAATTAAGTAATATTTTCAACAACTCTGCAGTGGTGTAAGAAACAAGAGGACCAATCATTTCTAGATCATGTTTGCATCACGTAATCCACCTGCAGTCTTGACCAACAGACCTGACCAAAGAAACAAACCCAGTGGCAAGCTGACATTAAACTCTGGGTAGAGTTCTGGAGAAGATTCTTGCTAATTTAATTTAGGGGAATGTATTGAGGGTCTGTGTCATGTTGAAAGCAGTGATGGCTCTATGCAAGACTTACACTAACATTTTCACACATTGTACATGTCATCCAATGGTTTGATCCTCCTCACGCTGTTCTCATTGTGTGTTCATTGGTCTCAAGGGAACTTTCCTTTTACCTATACAGTCAGGCATCCACACTTAGGTTAATTTTTTTTAAGGTTTGTGAGAACTAGTGGTCAGTTTCAAATCATACCATTTTTCTTTTTTTTTAATTTAGAATTTTTACGTATGGCTATAATCACACGATTAAGTGTTCATTCTCCTGTAACATTAATCACCAATTCAAGGAAATGAATGTCGATGCATTTTTTAAAATAATTTTTTTTAATGACATGAAAGAGGAAGTTCATTTCAGTGAATTATTTTTTATCCGTCTGTCCCTTTGTGATTGTAAGCTTCAAGACAGCAATTAAAAACTACAATTTGATGGACATGAAAATATGTATGAACATGTGAAATAAGTATTTTTTTTGTGCTAGATGTTAACTGTATCGTATATAATTCTTTCTTGATGTTACGTGTACATCTCCAAAGTTTTATTACTTTGCCTCATTTGATTTTTAACTACAACTCTTTGGCTCTTGAAATCAAATTTTGTCCTAGTTGTTATGTTATAGGAAGTATTTAACTCTTGTTATATATATATAACAGTATATCTACCATTGCAAAAGATTTTTATGAAAGTTTCTATTATTTTATCTTTTGAAACTGATGAGTTAATAAAAAAAAAATTATGAGTTTTTATTCATTTTGTCATCAGTAATGTTGACTAATTAATACAATTAGTATCTGGTGGATAAAATCAAAGTAAGAAAAGCTCATTTCAAACAGGCAACTGAGAAAACTTCATATTACAGAAAACATTTTAGTCTGCACTAACAAGTTCCTTTGTTATGTCATGGAGAATAAGCACTTGTAAATAATTCATAACTTTTTTTTTTTTTTTGCTTTGTGTATGTTTGTGGCTTTTAAATATTTTTTTTTAACCAAAATAACTGGAACCATTGTTAGAACTGTGTTCTTGTCAGTTTTTTTTATAAAGTAGTTTATTTTAACACTTCCTTTAGTTTGGACTTAGATTAAGCCCAATGTGACCACCATCTTTCTGTTCTAAATCAATCCATGCAGTGCAGTCTAGCACTCTACACTCTAGGCAGTCCTTTTTTTTTTAAAGATTTTTATTCAAATGAACTTTCAACAATAAATAGTAATAGTACATTTTCTAACTCTGCACCTGATAAGATTCATCACCAGTACTTAAAGTTTAAGCTCTGGAATCTTAAAATGTTGGATTGTGTTTTTTCTAATAGCTATCTATTTAAGATGATGATTTGAAAAGGCAAGTCTATGATTAAACTGGGGGTGTTGATTGGCTGACAATTGTTCTCTCATTTGAAGGAAAGCCTCTTTATTGGACAGACCTGGAGAATTTCTCAATAACCAAGATTTATTCTTTCAACTTATTTATTTTATAGTGCAACTTTTGTGCAATCATTCAAGAGAAAACAATAGAAAATGTACTGTTTTCAAAAATTTCGTGGGGAAAAATGTGACATCACCATTATGTTGCTTTTAATTTAGTTCCACTTCATAAAAATGGCTAACTTTTGTTGCCTTTTGGGATTTTGATTAGAGAGAAAGTTGCTGGTTTGCCTAGCAGTAGTGACTAGTCTCTCTTGAGCTGATCTATCTTCCCTCTTTCGTCTCCCAGTCTATTTATATTGGGTGCACACAGGTTTTGTATTTGCTTAAATAAAATGAATAAAAGTGATACATATTGTCATGGCCTCATTATTTTTTCTGTTGTCTCCAAGACTGAAAAAAGTTGATTGGTGTATGCGGAATTTGCCACATCATCAGTTGCCACATCATCAGACACGGACATAGTGGAATGTGATGACACAAAGCTTCACAACATAATTCCCTTCCTAAATCTGATACATGTTATGTCTGGGACTAATGTTGAGAGGGCAAGGATCTTTGGATTTACATTGAATGTTCAGAATCTGCTGTTGCTTGACTTCCAAAACCTTTGCATAGTTGTATATATATGTATATAGTATAGTAAACTTCACTTCCTTGAGAATTATGAATTTTAATTAGCTGAAATCTAAAAATACTGTACCGGGTATATTACTTTAATTAATTACTATTACTATAGACGTTAAATAAATTTCGTGTTTCATTTCATTTACCTAATAAAGATCTAACCAGGACAGTGGGTGTGCTTTTATAACATGAGGTACCGGTACAACAGCGATGATAACTGTTTTTCGGGCATTCGAGATGGACTTGTTTCGCTGCGGTTACTCTCTGTATTTGCGTGCTTGGGTAAGCCTGGACAGTCACGTGGATTTGGATGCAATCAAATCAAAGAAATTAAAATTAGTCCTGAAAACCTCGATGTGTCAATCACAAAAGTGGTAAAACGCTTGATTTGATTAAGACGAATTAATTAGTAGGCCTATATTTGAAATTTTTTTTAAAAAATATATTCGTTCAGACTTTTCAGTTCTGAATTAGATTTATGTTAAAAGATAAACCCGAAAAAAAAGACTGACAAATTGAAGGTAAACTAGAGTGATAGCTAAGGAGATTGAACGGGGAGAATAGGGAGGAGTTCATGGGACTAAGTGGGTGGCAGACAGAAAAAGTTAGGGATACACCGGAGATGACCAAATATTCCGCCTGGCACTGACCGCTTCTGCCATCTCCCTACGCTAGTGCACACAAGTTCTATTTTTGGTACATACATCGTCAGGGGCGTCTATCCCCCTCCCGCCTGACTGGTGGAAGCCAATCTCCCTTACCCCCAGAACTTGGACTTGGTAAATTATGCGTGTGTCTTGCCAGTTATTGGTGTCAAATTCGGGAAGTCACTATGAATGTTAGTAATACAAAAATGTACTTAAAAAAAAAAAATTTAGAACACTAATTTGACTATTCAATAATTTTAATCTCTTATTATGTGGTTGGATGGATGTGAAGTCAGAACTCGTCATTTTTTTCTAGAGTGTAGAAGTTCAATTGCCAGCCTAAGCCAGTCAATATATATATAGGTATATTTGCTTTCCCCTCCCCTGGAGAAATTGAAGAAACGGGCAGGCGTCACGGTACATCGTCAAGAAATAAATAATAATAAAGTTCATTTCAAAAACACGCTTCATCCCCAAAGGCTCGAAGCGCGGTACAAAGTCAACAAAAAACTAAATCTATAATTTACCACATTTAAAACAAACGCAACACTAAAAAAACTAATTACAAGCATACAATGTCAAAGTCTTTCTAGCCATTTCAACCATAAGCAACACAGCCATTATGCATTAACTGGAAAATAAGGTAGACAACCATCCCAGAAGGTGTTTGCGAAATAGATGCGAAACACATGGTACTCAACCAAAAAAATTGAAACTATAAACTACACTATTCTACACACCGTCCCCACTCATGGTGCAGCCATTCTTGTGCCAGTTCTCTGAAATTAAACAGAATTTTGTTCACTAATACGATGGATTATATTAATGTGAGTCATATTTACATAAATGGAACGCGAAAAAAGAAATCCATTTTGATGGTTAAGACTTAGGCCATGGGCGCCCGCAGGGGGGGGCAAGGGGGGCACTTGCCCCCCCCCCCTGGATTGATTGGATAACATTTTTTTAGACAAAAAAATGTTTTAAAGTAAAGAGAAAATAAAGAGAAAGTAACTAAGCTGATGTCCTGTCCGCTCGTTCACCATACAAATACGCTACAGTAAATTAAAACTACATTAAAACATTACTAAAAACTTTTTGCCCCCCCCCCTGGAAAGTTAATCGATTTTTTTTGCCCCCCCCCCCCTAGAAAGTTTTCTGCGGGCGCCCATACTAAAAACTTTTTCCCCCCCCCCCTGGAAAGTTAAACGATTTTTTTTTCCCCCCCCCCCCCTAGAAAGTTTTCTGCGGGCGCCCATGACTTAGGCCTAAATGTTTGCAATTATATTTAATTGATTTTTTAATTTGCTTGTTTTGTACAGACCCCTTTACCATTTTAAACAACGAATTAGTAGAACAAGGTATGTTGAAACTTGAATCCAAAGACAGGACAACAAGTAAAAAAAAAAGATGTTCTACTATTTCATTCATACAGCTTGAATGCTATCCTTCAAGTATTATATTTTAAGCAAGTTTGAAATGCGACTTTCAGGTGCCGTTTAATCATATTTGATACACGTAGCAGAAACACAGAAGGCCTACTGACCCACACAGAATTCGTGAAATATTGAGCTGTAGTCAGATCAGTCTGGACCCCCCCTCCCCCCCATATCCCCCCCTTTCCACACAAAATAAAAAAAATAAAAACTATATCTTCCCTTTTCAACACTTAGTTTCACATCCGTGTGGCGTCTTATCAGTGGCGTGGGAAGGGGGTGCGGTGGGGCAGTACACCCGGCAGCACTGTTTTACCTTTAATGAATTATATGGAGGGGTGGCATTTTCGTGCAACTGCAGTTTATCTTTGAAAGAACTCCCCTCCCCCCCCCCCCCCAGTTTTACCTTTAATTAATTATTTGGAGGGGGGGCATTTTCGTGCAACGTCAGTTTATCTTTGAAAGAACCCCCCCCCCCCCCCCCCCCGGGTGGTACTTACCCTAGGTATGTCACTGCGTGGAACATTTTTTGGAGCAGTAGGCTATTTCCTTATTAAGTAAGAAGCATTATAAAAAGAATCTTCTTCTATGTTCGTCATCTGTCGCAGTTCAAATGACATTGTAAGTGTATTACATTTTAAATGTAGGCTTTCTGATTATTTCAATCTTTTGAAAATCATAATACGTACAGCCGTAGGAAAGTTAACTGAAATAAATTTGGGCATTCTGTTGATTTATTTAAAGTTTTTTCTTCTTAATTACTTCGTAACACATGCCATATGGCCAGAGGCGTAGCAAGGGTGTTTTGCGCCCGGGGACACGATTCGCGCACGGGGGGGGGGGGGCAAGATCCATCGTATAGCGCCCCCTTTTCTTTTTTCAACTCATTATTTTTACCAATAATATAATATCAAAGCACATTTTGGCGCCCTTAACTAGCATGCGCCCGGGGACATGTGTCCCCCTGCCCCCCCTCGCTACGCCTCTTCATATGGCACATTCAATATGGAGCGATACCATTTTACTTAATAAAACGTAAGTGTTTTATGTAAGAAGCTCAAAATAGGGACGGGGTCGGGACCGGATAACATCTCAACAAAGATGATAACGGCAGATATATAGGTACATTAGTCCGAAGCAGGACTTTTTGGCGCCGCCGTTTTGGCGCAGGACATTGTGGCGCCATTTAAAAATAACTTTTTATTTAACTTAACGTTTATAAACTCACATCACCAGAACTTCTTGGAATGGTCTGTACTAAACTTATCGAACACATAACAGTATCTTCCGTGATTCAACTTTTCTTTACCACGCTTCGATGTAACATTTTCCATTTTACTGGTTTAACAGAATTAAAATATGTGATATATAATTTATGAAACTCTAATTAACTTATGATTTTAGTCATTAGGCAGAAACGGTAAATAAAGGCTTAGGCCATCTGTGCGTCAAGATGACCTGCGCCAAAACGGCGGCGCCAAAACGTCACGTACCGACATTAGTCAACATGCTGCCCCATCTGTTTGAAAAGATATGGGAAGAAGAGAGAGTTCCAACATGTTGGAAAGAAGGATAACTCGTCAAGATACCAAAGATTAGAAAGGGTCTCTCAGCAACAGTGCAAACTACAGAGGAAGAACTACAATGTACTGTAGATTTAAAACAGATTTTATGACACGCACAACGTCTTCATCTGCTGAAAGACCCGAGTCTTGTGCCAGTTCTCCCGGCATTCTTCGCCTAAGTCGGATTCGTCTTTTAACTTCGATCCCCCACGCTGCACACTTTATCATTGGCATTCTCACGAGCATCTCTGCACAGGTCTTCTCGATTTTTCTTAAATGTATTGTCTAGTGATTCAATATCGAACGCTGCATCTTTGAAGTTCGCGGTGGGATCCTGTCACCGTTTCTGAACACGTTCAATTTTTTTTCCGTGAAAGTACTGCCAAAAGTGGAGTAAAGCTATGAAGTAAAGCTGCATGATGGCCCGAGTGCAGGACAACGGTCAGTCATCTCAAGCATTCCCCATCGCAAACGGTGTAAAGCAGGGCTGTGTCCTTGCTCCACACTCTTCAGTATTATGTATTCTGCAATGCTGTCTGGTGCGTTCAAGGACTCCACCAGGACTTGCCAATCCGGTTTCACACTGATGGATCAGTCTTCAACCTAGGAGGCTTCAAGCTAAAACCAAGGTCAAACATAACACACCATCAACGAGCTTCTTTTTGCGGACGATTGTGCCCTCAACGCTGCCTCAGAAGCCGTCATGCAACACAGCGTTGATTATATTCTCTGAGGCCTGCAATACATTTGGCCTCACAATCAACACAAAGAAGACTGAGGTGATGTATCAGCCAGCTCCCAGTAAGCCCTACGTTGAACCCAACATCATCTTCAGCGGACAGCGTCTCAACCCTCTCCAGATCTGTCGTCATGGTTGATGAAATGAATGGCAGACTTGCAAAAGCTAGTGCCATATTTGGCAGGCTCCGCAGCACTGTTTGTGACAAGAGGGGTATCAGACGAGAAACGAAGATCAATGTATATAGCGCAGCAGTCCTCTCGACATTGCTCTACGGATGTGAAACGTGGACAGTCTACCAGCGTCGCGCCAAGAAACAGAATCATTTTCACACAACCTGCCACAGGCAACTCCTCGGCATCAGGTGGCAAGACAAAGTCCCTGACTCAGAGGTCCTCGCTAGAGAGAACCTACCTAGTATCTTCACCACCCTGATGCAGTCTCAACTCCGTTGGATGGGACATGTAGCCCGTATGGAAGACCACCGGCTCCCAAAACAGATATTCTTCGGAGAACTCACGATAAGCAAACGCTCCCAAGGAGGTAAACAAAAAGCGTTACAACGACTCACTGAAAGCGGCACTAATCCTCATTTTCTTACTAATAACGTCACATTTGGAGATGGCGTCAGTGGGTCGTCGAGCGCGAGCTCTTAATACCCCTCCCCCCCCCCGGCACACCTCCACATGGGCCAGAAGACTCACTGAAAGCGGCACTAATCCTCATTTTCTTACTAATAACGTCACATTTGGAGATGGCGTCAGTGGGTCGTCGAGCGCGAGCTCTTAATACCCCTCCCCCCCCCGGCACACCTCCACATGGGCCAGACGTCGGGTCTCCCCTCCGCCAGAACGTGAGGAAGCTCGTCGGGAACCTCCCCTCCCTGGCCTGGGGACGACCGGTCGACTGAAAACGCTGCGTTTAAAGCGTTCGGGGACCACTCCCCGTGGGTCAGAACGGCTTTGCTTCCACTCCGGGGGGAAAGGTGTTGCGTTACCACCCCCACCGTCCAGGGAGTCGTCCGGTCGGGAAGAATGTTGGGAAGAAACGGTCGCCTAGGAGCGGCTATCTCAGGGCCGCGTAGCTAAAATAATCGGTAAGGGTTTTTACCGCCACCCAGACGGCAAAAAGTAATCATGTTATTGCGTTCCTCCCTACTAGCATTCCTCCCAAGGCCTCCCTACTAGTCTGCCACGCCACGCAAGAGGCAAAACCCCATGTGGACGTCCCCAAGTCTCCTCGGAGATCCGAAGCCCCATTTTCTTACAAAAATCTCGACTCTGGCTGGGAGACACCTTCTTCTGATTCTAGTGTCGACACAAGATCTTGTTTTGATTTTTTTCCAACTACAGACTTCGCTTTAAAAAAAAGAAGTAGTTCATTCATTGGCTTGTCGTCTCTCCTTCTTTTGTTGTCTCTCTGTTTCTCTTCCGCCTTTGAGCACCACTTAGTTTATGTCCTGGCCAGCAGGCAATGGTCAAATATAATGTTTCATTTTCAAGCTTGAAATTTGTATTTTTTAAATTAAATATAATGAAAAATCAATAATTATTTCATTCAATCTCACACATGTCTTATTCGTGTACCGAATATAGGATTTAAGGTATTCGGCCGAATACGAATATCGTTTGCTCTAGGAAAGAAAACATTTCAGTTTACTATGATTAAACAAAACGAGAATATTCATCTATATGTTTATATCTGGTGATTATAAATAACACAAACTACGTAGACCTACCTTTATCATGAAGATACATAATGAACGTTTGAAATGTAAATTTGTCTAAAACAATAACTACAGAAGAAAGACCAATGAATGCCCCGTTCGCAGGCAGGTAATCGGCTCCTGAAAAGGACGCTCAGGGCGCTACCTCTGACAAATCAGCATCGATCAAGCAGCAAACTTGGTTCGATCCGACAAATAAAAGACCGACACCTCACACACGTCATTGTCACACGGGAAGTGTCAGTAAGTAATAGCAATGCATAACGATTTAGAATAGGCAGATGGTAATACCATGCGATACCATACGAACAGGCACAACATTACAGTAATAACCGGCTGCATTCCGTGAATACTTTCCACTAATGGGTTCAAACATATAATGCAAAAAAAACCACACAAAAAAAACCACCAAACATTCTTGATACTTTGGGCCACTTTGGGCGCCACCGGCGCCGAGGGTGACTACTCCAGCTGCTCTTCCCTCGCTACGACACTTGCCTTAGAAAGATCCTGAGCATCAAATGGCCAAACACCCTCACAAACAAAGACTTACTGGAAAGAACATACCAGGAGCCTATTGCTGAAGACATCATAAGGAAAAGATGGAGGTAGTTAGGGCACACTCTCCACAAACCCTCAGATAACATCACCAGACAATTTCTAACATGGAATCCACAGTGAAAAAGAAAGAGAGGAAAGCCAAAGAATACACGGGGACGCGAGCTAGAGGCAGACACACAAAGTATAGGATAAAGCTGGAAGAAACTGGAAAGGAAAGCACAGGGCCGAGATGAATGGAAAATTCTTGTAGACGCCCAATGCCCCAGACAGGGTAAAAAGCATGCGTAATTAAGTAAGGCTATTTCTTTATTAAGTAAGTACCATTATGAAAAGAATGTACTTCTATGGTCATCATTTGTCGTTGTTCAAATTACATAATATGTGTAGGCCTATTACATTTTAAATGTAGGCTTTCATTTTTAAATTTATTTCTTTCTTTTTGAAAACCATTCATTATCAGAATGGGTACAGATGTAGGAAAGTTAACTTAAATAAAATTGAACATTCTCTTGATTTATTTAGCTATTATTTTCTTAATAATCCCGTATGCCATGGCACTCAATATGGATTCATACTATTTTAGTTACTAAAACTTAAGTGTTTAATGTTAGTTTCATTATTGTTATCCAGTTGAAAATTTGTTAAATAAATAAAAAATCTCATGATTAAAAAAAAAAACAACTAAAAAAAAAAAAAGGCCTCTGTTAAAAAAAAAAAAAAAAAAAAGATTCCGCGTAGTTTGGTCCAGATTTCTTCCCCAATTCCGCACATAAATATATACCGTATGTAATATAAATAAACGCATTAGGCATTAGGCTTAGGAAGAGACAACATTGACAACGATTGACAACATTTGGGTTAGTCTAGAATCTATAGCCATAGCCATAGTCTAGACATTTATGATCACCGCAAATGATACTATTACTAGTAAATTTTAAAAATGGCATTCAATGACTAAAAGCTTAATACTCTTTAGAAAAGAGAATAACTAATTTACAATATCATTTAATATCTAATTCAGCGGGTAACATGATGGCAAGAGAGCAAAAGACGGGAGCATATTTGTATGATAATCCGTTTGGGTAATATATAAGATAACATTAGTCATCCTTGAAAGCTCATTAATCAGTGTTATGATATAAAGATTTTTTTACAAAGTAATTAATTTATTCTATTGAGATTCTAGATAATGCATTTTCAAGATATTTATATAATTTTTTTAACCAGATTTGACGAAAACCTAAAAATGTTATGAGAACCCTTTAGAGACACAAATGGCTTCATTTGGTTATATTAACACCATTTAACACTAAATCCATAATAAACACATAATACAACCCCAGTAACTTATTTTTTCAAGTTATATGTCATATTAAATGATATTTATTGCTTAGAAACCTTGTGTTGATTAAAAAAAATATGGTACGAACTCAAAGTCTTTATGTTGAACGAAATTTGCAAAAACAGTGCCATGACTGGTAGCGCAAGAATATAAAAATCTAGATACAAAATCTAAAAACCACCCAACAGGTTCTTTCGTACATAAAATTATGCTTAAAGTATGTAAGATGCATTAGATTAATATAATTTATCGTATTCGTTGTTTTAAATGCAGTTAACACAATGTTTTTAGCAGAAAATTAAAACTATTTCTCATAGCGCTTAAAGAGCTGTGACATTGTAAGTTGGTTTTAATGCCGCTGGGGACAGCAGATAGGCATTCTGTCTCTTAAAAATTAAGTATTTCACTGGAGGTAGCAATAATTAGAAGGAAAAAACTGTATGATTCTGCTATTTCAGCATGTCAGATAAAAGTGGTGATAATTTTCGCAATGGACGTCGATCGAGAGATGCAAGTTCACAATCGGATGATAGTAGCGACGAATCCGATCAGGGTGAGCATGAATGAAGAAACGTTTTTTTTTCGTGTTTTTTTTTAAAATTGTTTTTTTACCGGTAATACTAATAGCCAGTGAAGAGCGCATAATTTTGTACACAATAATTCAATTATACGCAGGGATTTGTTGCTATATATTAATTTTAATTTTTAAGTTATTGATCCATTAATTTTTTACCTCTAAATTTATTATTTTCTAAAACCTAGATAACGGAATGCGCATTGGGGAAGATTACCAAGCATTGATCCCAGAATATACTCCAGGTAAGACATGAGTTATCTCCACTGAAGTCAGTCATTAAGTTTAGCCAAGCTATGACTTTGACTACTATGAGGAGACATGTAACTTTTGATGAAACATTAATACAAATGATTTTACTCAATGTGTCAGTTAATTATAATGAATAATTCGCTCCCTTTTTAAGTTTTTTTACAAAGGATTTTCTCTCTTGCAACAATAATATTAATAATAATATTCAATAACCAATTCAATGGATAGGTACTATTTACTACTCCAACTCAAATTTTCAAATACATCTGACAAGGACAAAGAGCATATCATTGGGAAAGCTGGCTTTAAGCTTTCAATTGACACCACGATAATCTTTCTATCATTTAAAGGAGAAAAGTTATGATTTTTTTAGTGATTTTTTTTTACCCCATGTCATTTGCCTTTGTATTTAATTTTTTAAACTGTCATCACATTATTACTCTTTTTGTACTATTTTGCATGTATCTTTTTGGATATTAATGTTAGAGCTATCGAATTTGGAGGAGACATTTACAATACAATGTTTAACAAAATAAAACATGAAATTCTGAATTAACTTTTTATATTTTACTAAATATGACTATGAGCATATGGCGTGGATAACTACAATTGTCGAAAAATTTAATAAAAAAAAAAAAAATGACATAATTACTAAACAAATGAAGCTATTGCTATAAAATTTTCAATACAAACAGATAATTTCCATCTAAAAGTAAGGTAAATTTAAAATAAATTAAATGCAGATCAGAAAAATTTATGGAATGTTAGAAAAAATATTTCATGAAAAGCGACTGGCCGAGACATTTTTACACTTAAAATAGATAACTTTTAAACTAATAAAGCTACTGCAATGAAATTTTCAGCACAGATAGATGGTGACAATATAAATGTAATAGAATATTAAAATATTACAAAGGCAATTTAAATCATGCAATAAAAAATTAAAAAATGTCATGTAATCTGTCGACATTGGAGTGTATTTTTAACCATAACTTTTAAACTAATAATGCTAACGCAATGAAATTTGCAGTACAAATAAACAGTGTCAATCTAAATTTAATAAAGTATTTAAATACAAAAAAACATTATTCAGAAATTTTATTTAAAAGTTATTAAATGAAACTCCATCTCTGTCAACATAATTGTACAGGCACATTAAGTTTGGGCTCCGGAGCTCTAGCAACACTTCATCCTCATCATGTTTTATATATGAAATTATTAAAAACCAGTTATTAAAAGTGTATATTTATAATCAAACTACTAAGTTATAACACAGGAAATATTTATTTAGCTATTTCAAAAAAAGTTTAAAATAATAATAACCAAGTTTACATTAGAAATATACCACTTCCGGTTGATCGAGGGGAAAAAAATGGCCATGGCTTGGCAGCCTAGAATTTTTAGTCACATCGCTCAAGCTCTAATAAATTTCAGTGATGATCAGTACTTTTAAAAAACAGTGTTTCCCCTTTTAAAATATATAAACTATGCGTACAAGCAATTTCCAAGTCCGAACACGATTAAAAAAAAAAAAAAAAAAAAAAAAAAAAAAAAAAAAAAGTACTTTTAAAAAACAGTGTTTCCCCTTTTAAAATATATAAACTATGCGTACAAGCAATTTCCAAGTCCGAACACGATTAAAAAAAAAGAAAAAAAAAAAAAAAAAAGCACAGCGAACTCACTTACCACAAGTCAACTTTCCAATTAATCGTCTCAGCATGGTCAGATTTCTACTTAATTCCTACCCTCGTAACCGGCATGGATTGCCGATTCAAATTAAAAGAATTAATCAAACTACTAAGTTATAACACAGGAAATATTTATTTAGCTATTTCAAAAAAAGTTTAAAACAATAATAACCAAGTTTACTTTAGAAATATACCACTTCCGGTTGATCGAGGGGAAAAAATTGCCATGGCTTGGCAGCCTAGAATTTTTAGTCACATCGCTCAAGCTCTAATAAAGTTCAGTGATGATCATTACTTTTAAAAAACAGTGTTTACCCTTTTAAAATATATAAACTATGCGTACAAGCAATTTCCAAGTCCGAACACGATTAAAAAAAGAAAAAAAAAAAAAAAAAAAACAACAAAAAAAAATAAAAAAAAAAAAAAAAAAAAAAATAATCATTACTTTTAAAAAACAATGTTTACCCTTTTAAAAAATATAAACTATGCGTACAAGCAATTTCCAAATCCGAACACGATTAAAAAAAGAAAAAAAAAAAAAAAAGCACAGCGAACTCACTTACCACAAGTCAACTTTCCAATTAATCGTCTCAGCATGGTCAGATTTCTACTTAATTCCTACCCTCGTAACCGGCATGGATCGCCGATTCAAATTAAAAGAAGGAGAATCCTCTATTTTTAGAAATGACATAGAACAAAGTTAAAGATCGACATCTACTGAAAACGAAAAGCGCCAGCTGATCACAACAATCCCCTTTCGGCAGGCCGCGTTTTTCTATCGCTTGCTGCGAAAGTATTGGAGTGCCTACAATGGATGGATGGCAGATATGAGATAACTTACTAAACTAAAAGACTAATAAATATAAGTTAAAATAAGGCAGGCCTAGTCCTAGGCCTAGACAAATTAAGTAGACCAAAGTAATTAAAAAGACTCTTTATTTTATATATTTATAAAAGTTATTAATCTACACTTTAAGGGGATTGAAAATTGTATTTTTTTGCCATATGTCATAAATGGATTGCGTCTAATTGGAGAGGACATGTATTACTGGCCAACTGGCAATAATCAATAGAAAAATATGAACATCATACAAAAAAAGTTATGGATGTGGGCCTTGCACCGGTGGTGGATACCTTTCTACACCACTAAATTATTATTTCTCATACTAAGTTGCTTTCTGACTATTAATTTTGTCTTTATGTCACAGCTGCTAGGAGATTATAGACTGCTTTGCCTCCATTCCAGCTTAAACATACCCTCTGTTAAGATCTTTTTTTTTTTATAAGATTAAAAGAATCAAATGCACACACAGACACACACACAATGCCCCCCCCCCCCCCCCCACCCAACTTCATTACACAAGCAGATTTAGTCAACCAAATACTATGGGTTAGTATTCCTTCAACAAGAGGCAAGATTTGAACTAAATGTGGACCAAATCTTCATTGGGCGGGGGGGGGGGAAATAGCATCCATTAATGACGTTGGGGGATGGGGGTGGTCACACTTTTGTGACAAGGTTAACTCTTTCACTGCATTTTTTTTTATAGAAACATTTTTTTTCAATGAACAAAAAAAATATTTAAGACTAAATTTGGTATCAAATGAATGATAATTGAATGGACTATATGTTTGTAAACTTATTTCTTCAATTTAAATAAAATAAGTAACAGAAAAGAAACTTAAAATGTGAAAAACATATGCAAACATTTTTTTTCCCCCAAACCATTTGATGTACGGATACATGATCTTCACTGCTATAACTCAAATCCTCTAAAACTACTACTATCCGAATCATGTGATGGATCTAAATCATCTTCACTATCAATTGAAATATTATATATTTCTAAAGCATTTTGAGCTGTTAATCGTAAGGAAACGTACTCAACTCACTAGTCCATGGGCAGCCATAGCAATAATATTGATACAGAGAAGAAAAAAAGCGAAGAATATAAATAAAACCAAAAAATGTTGGTTTTGCATATTAACAATAAAGTACCACTCTTCTATGTAAAAGTCTATTTAAAAATAGCTCTTAAAAAGTTTAACAGAGAAATAGCAAAGAAACAACCAAGATATTGAAACAATACACAGCGCTTCGGTCTGTGGTTATTAGCATGGTGGATGAATTTATTGTGCCTTGTGCTGCAGCGAAAGAGTAGTATGATGTCACATTAAAAGTGGAACATTATAATAAAAAAAAATGCACTTAATAACAGTGAATAACACTAATTTACAGACATTTTTAACATTATTCTTTGATAAAAGAATTATAATTATTTTATTTTTAAACTGCCATCACTGAGAGGATCAGTACAGGCATGCGAGATCTGAAAAATTGCATCTGATCAAGTTACAGGCTGCCACAGAGCAGGAGAATATGGGTGTAGTGACATTGGCAGTTATGAGAATTTAAGTCAAAATGTGGGGACCGGAGTCGTAGAAATAAGGCCTGTTAGGACTACCATGTGAAGTGGGATGGAGCAAAAAATGGTTGACACCACACACCCATGATAATTAAATAATTTAGTTACTGTAGTTTTAAAAAAAAAATAATTTCCTATAAACAAGGGAAAAAAAACAATTCAAGTTGTGTGCAAAAATTTTTTTTGCCCAAAAAACCCATTTCTAATTAAAATGCATAAAAAAATATTTTTTTTAAAGCAGATACAACTAGCAATGGCACCAAATACAATTTTCTGGGTCTTTTGTCTCTCAGGGGGTGCTTTTATCCCAGGGAACCACTGTTCTAGGGAAATGTTTCTGACACAGGTGCAGTCATTTAATATCCATTGGAGGTGAATTTTTAAAGAGTTTGTAAAGGCCATTAGAGGACCGGGGTGGGGGGGGGGTGGTTGCAGGGATTTGTGATATTTTAATTGTGGGGATCTAACTTTTTGTGAGAATGGGGGACGGTTGGTGAATCAGAAAAATTTGCATGACATCATTTATGGATGGTCCCTGGAGCAATCCATAAATGGACACCCCCCCCCCCCCCCCCCAAAACCACAAATGTATAAACTTCCCTTCCCCCTAGATGTGTGATATATTTTATAGATGACCCCTTCTTTGTTTAATAATGTCTAATTAGGCTTTTATACTCTTAAAATTTTTTTTGACAATTAGTGTTGAAATTTTGGTAAGCAGCAGCCAATTTAATTGGGCTAAAATTGTTGAACCCAATTATAACTCAATATTGTATTATTTTTTTTTTTAGTTGAGATGAATGTGAATCCAATAATAATTTTTAGCAAATATATGTAATTACACAATGCATTGTGCATTAAAAAAAAAGTCAGGTAATATTTTTTTAAATCTTCCGCCCCTGGCCAAAACAAGTTTAACCCACTTCTGCCTAACGTGCAGTTTTAAGTAAAGGGAGATCACTCCATTTGGAATAGTAAATACCCTGTATAAAAAGTCATAGCATTTTTTTGAAATAAAAAAATTAATGAAATTTCATAAGCACAATATAAATTATATATGAAATTGTGTATCGGTTCATTTTCACAAGTTGACAATCATCACCATGGCTACAATCACCTGCTGCTAGCATCAACTACCTATGTACTTAACTAATTTCATCATCTATCCTTGCTTATAGATCTCTCAAGAGCTTGGAAAACCATTCTGAACTTCTGTTGTTACTTAGTTATGATAGAAGATAAAAAAAAATCACATTTTCTGTGGAGAGAGTAGAAATTAATTCTAAGATTTAGCATACAGTTACGGCATATATCAGTAGATTTAAAATTTAATTTAATATTTTTATTTTTAGATGCAAAATACGATGGAAAACCAGAGGCAATGCTGGTCTGGGCCCCCTCACCAAACTTATCTGATGCTAAAGGTATTGGAAGCTGAATTGTTCATATTTCAACAGGATCTAGATGTTTCGGACTACTAACTGCATTCATTGCATTCATGAAATATGTATTGCTATTGCTAACTTAATCCTGGGCAAACAGTATAGAGACTTTCCCCTTAAATCTCCCCTTAAATCATAAATGACTAATTATGTAAACTATGGAATTTGTTCATTAAAAAAAACCAATGTGACTATTAAATGGTTTTATCTATATAAAATGCAATTTCTTCAACTTTTTCAGTAGATGAATATATACGCATAGCTAAAGATCTGCATGACTATAACATGGAGCAGGTGAGCTACATCCCAAACTTAATCAGAGTAAAGATTTAAAGCAATATTTTAATTTAAAAAAAATTGTATTGTCACCATATGAATGAAAATTGTGTTTCAAAACTTTATAGACTCTAAAATAAAAGTGGGGTTTGATTGTTTTAATAAAAATGTATTTGCTTGCTCCAATCATTTGCCTGACCTTAATATTATATATAATTTAACTAAAAGAAAATGTATAAGATACTTAAAAATTTAATGGCTCTCACAAATATGAAATCTATTGGTAGTATTGTACAAAGTAACAATTCAAATTTTTCTCTGATCACATTGATAGGATGGGGTTCAAGCTTAATGATGAAATGTAAATAAATAGACCTCGTTTTTCATTTAAAAAGGCTTTAGGGATGCTTTTCTGGCATAAACACAATATTGAAAGAGCTCTGTCAGACTTACCGAATTTCACCCCTTTTCCTGATGAATGGTCAGTAGAAGACAAAGTTCTCTTTGAGCAGGCTTTTGGATTTCATGGCAAGAGTTTCCATCGAATAAAACAAATGGTGAGTTATTTTATATTGTATTAGAAAATGATCATCCTAGATTTTATGGTCTGCCCTTGTAAGGTAAACATCCGCAACCTGTGGTAATATTAGCATAAGCACCAAGCCATGTCAGTTTCTAAAGTAAGTTATAAAAAATTATTTTAAACCAGTTGAAAATGAATGAAGCAATGTGTCAAGGGTATGAGAATCACTGTTGTTATGTGTAGATCACTTTTGTCAAGTTTGATAGTGAAAAGATGTTTAGTTAGAGATTTCATGTGTAGCTGTATCGATGGTGTGAGAGTGTTGTGACGTATTTGGGTAAAGGGAAGTTAGTTTTAGTTTTTGTTATGGCGGATAAACTATAATGACGTTTTGGACTTGTTGCTGAGTGTTAGGCTGAAACGATTTGATTATTAATCTGTAATTATATAACAACTATAGATAAGGAATTGTTGTTAAATAAATTCATATCTTGCAACAAACCGATAAGTGTTTGTTATATTAGTAGCTGTTGCTATTAGATATACTGTCTTGTGGGATCAAGTGAAAGACTTGGCCCAAACTAGTAGGCACTCATCGCCATGAGTGGATGAACATGACACAACAGGTTCAACAGCTCATCACAATGTTTAATATTTAGATGTGCAAGCTTTTAAGTTTGCTGTTTATGATGCTTTTACTCTTTTGCAGACAGTATTAATGCTTGGTATTTATTAAATGTAACAGCTGCATTATATCTTAGAATTAATCCTGTCAAGTACCTTCAAATTTTGGTTAAAAAGAGTAGTAACAGAATTTGAAGATTGGGAACATTTTATCCAAAATCTTTGATTGTGTCAGTAATTCCGTTTTCAACTTAATAGTTGACTAAAATAGAAAAAATAAAAATTATCTCTTGGAATAAATTGGTAGCAACAATCTTGTTTAAATAATAGTTAAGGGGTTTCTTAAATTATTTTCAAAATTCTTTGTAGTACAGTGAAATTTAAAAAAATAAGTTATCTGCCTCTCCCTTAATAGGTGTGCTTTAAAATTGTGTGTTTTTTGTATGATTATATAGCTACCAGACAAGCCCATTTCAGCGCTAGTTAAATATTTTTACTCTTGGAAAAGAACTCGGTCACGATCCAGTGTAATGGATAGGCAGGCAAAGAGGCTTGGCAATGGTGGTGAAAGGTATTTAATATTGTAAAATAATCAGATTTATTATACTTAAAGTTAAAAAAAAAATTTTCAGCTTCTTAAAAACCTTGCTTATTAGTTATTTATATATGGCGAGTTTTTATTTTTAGATTTCAATTCTTTAATAATTGATAATATAGTCTTCTTTATTTCATTAGAATAACTTTTTCTGTAAAAAAAAATTTAAAAAATGGACCTTATTACATAATTCCCAGCTTTCAGAAGGAAAAGACGTGTTATTTTAATCAATCATTTAATTTAAGTCCATTGTACATAAAAATTGTGCATTCTAAGTTGACATAAGGTTATAGTGCAAACTATTCCAGTTGTGGAATTTTGAACTGGGAGCTTTTTTTTCCCTTGCAACTAGACGCAACACTTCTAAAGTAACTCACCTAATAAATGGTGAAATTTGAGGATTCCTCTTTAAATATTGCTAACATTGTGTGTAATAATTTTTAACATGGGAGAATTATTTATTTATTATTTTGAGTTCCACAGATAAGTGTTACTATTGCTATTGGTCATTCATCTATCCAAAATTTAAGTTTTCCCGCTTGTTATAAAATTTAACCTGAAATATAGATTGCATAAAAGATGAAAGATTTCAGTTTAAAATAAAATTATGTTTTTTTCTAAAATTTCTCTTTCAATTAAAACAATTAAAGGAGGATACTTTAAAATATTTATGTATTACTTGTATTTTACAGTGATGAAGGTTCAGAGAATACTTCAAATTCTGATGAAGAGGAGAAAAGTAAAGAAAATGTTAGTAATGTCTTTACAATATTTCCACATTACATGACTATGATAATGAAGAAGGAGCATTGGTACTTTAATAACTTAAGCTTGTACAGTAATAATGTGAACTAAATATAACTACTGATTATGGATATAATTGGAAAACCTCAAATAAATATGTATATGAAAAATAAATTCTTCCAGAAAGACAAAAATAGATGTGTGAATTGTGGAGTAGTTACATCACAGCTTCATGTCACGCCTAAAGGGTCATTGTGTCATAGCTGTTATCAGTACTGGAGGTAAGCTTATAGAAGTGGATCAAATAAGAGGTAGTCATATGATTATATAAAAAAAATTTGTTCAGTATTTCAAGAATTGCTTTTTAGTACTCACAGTTAGAAAGAACTAGAGATTTTTATTTCAACTTTGAACTAAGAACTTTGGCAGTTAACTGTAAGGCATCATGTTCTTTTGTTTTAATTACCTATTTTCCCCCATTTTTATTAACAGGGGAATGTGTACTTAAGTCCTATTTATTGTGCTACGTTATTATTATTTAAAAATGATTTCATTTAGGAGAACTGGTGTGATGCGATCAGCAGGTCCGAAACGTCACGACTCCCAAAGTACAGGAAGACATAACCCTATTAAACATAAACGCAAACCGCCTAAAGGAATGTATCTTGATCAAAATGATCTCTTAGCTATGGTATCTGGTCCACCAAACCAGCCTGAGGCAATTTTAAAATCACTTGATTCGGAGCTTATATCCCTTAAACGAATGGTCCAAAACAACAAACAGATGCTCAGTCAACAAAAGCACAAGTTAGGCGCAGGTGTGGATGACATGAAACCACCAGAGGTATTTAAACAATGTTTTGTTCAAACACTGAACTGTAATGTAGCTTCCTAAATTCCTTCACTATATCAGTATGTAGCCCAAACTGAAATTAACTTTACATTTGTTGTGAGTTTCACCTGATAGCACTTTTTTTCTAAGATATACAATATAATACAACACTATTTTATAGAAATATATGTCTATTTGCCACATAGAGGATATCTAATATAAACACAAAAACTGGAATATAACCTTTCACCACAGTCTTGGGCAGAATGTTTATTCCTTGGGGGAATAGTCCAATTTTAATTTGCCTTTTAAATGATTAAAATCGACCAATTACTGAGTTTTTTGTGTGGATCTGTATTTGTTGTTTCCATGGCGCTACACTATCGCTATTGTTGATGACGACTTAGGCACAATCCCCTAGTGTGCCATTGTCAAAGAAAAGGTTGAACAAAACACTTTATTTTTTTTAACACCCTTTAGTTTTTTTAAAACCCTTATCCATTTCTGAACAGATAATTCTCTACATGTTATTATCAATTGTTTAAAACAAAAAAGTTACAAAATAATTTGCAAACATATCAAATTTTGGCTCATTCCAAATTAATGTCTGGGCCACAGGGAATAATTATTAAAATAATAGCCGGGGCTGAGGCTATACAAGCAAAAAGAAGGTCAATACTATAAGGGTTAAGTTCTTTTCAATTTTGCTGAAAATCGACCAAAAATATAATATATTATATTTTTACATTCTGAAAAAAAGGGCTATTTTTAAGGACCTATATATCCTAAAATAATGGAGAAGTCCAGGAATTGGTTTTTTTTGGGGTTTATTTGCGCCAAAGTTTTTAATATTTAATTGATATCTATTATCTATAGCAGATACATGTCAGCAAAACAAAGTGACAGCAGATTGCAATATAAATGCCTGTCATCTACTTTTAGAAGTAACCTTTTTTGAAGACAGCTTAACTCGATCCCTCTAGACAGACGATGGGAGCAATTATTGTATACATTATATATATATTGTATGTTATTTATTTACTATGAAGATACTATAATGTACGATTTTAGAAGTACAAGGGTAAACAGGTCTGCATTAAGTCCGATAGACAATATGTATCCCAGCCTAGTTCACAATGTCTCTAATATGCTCAGTATCGTTTAAATATACCTAATTTCTGAAACAAATTATGCTAAACTCACATCTAATAGACATGTTCAGTTACTCATATGTTAACTGAAACTTTAATTCTACCACTTTCTTCTTGAGTTAAGACGCAAACTAAGACATTAAAAAGCTCCTGCCATGGTACTAGTAGTTGTGGCCAAGCAAGCGTCTGCCGTCTATTGTAAGGGCTGTAGAACTGGAAATAGTGGTGTTTTTGTAAACATCGTGGCTTCAGGCTTTCCTGTCCACCAATTTAATCTTATGAAATTAAGTATTTTAAAATCTGAAATTTCCAATAGAGTAAAGAAAGTATAAGATCTTTGTGTTTTCACCCATTTTTCGCCTAAAGAAGTTTGCAACTTTTTTTTTTCAAAATAAAATATATTTTCTATACATCAAACGAGAGATCAGTATCTACTCTTTCTAAAGGTGGTAGGATTATTCTGATAGCTTACCAAGCTTTTGAAACACCATGGGGTAATTTGGCACTCGTTAAAATGACGTAAAATTTGTCAAAACTAATATTATTAAAACACACAAAATACACTTACAAACTTATGTTTAAGACACAAAAATAACATATTTCTTAAGATAAAATCTTAAACTTTATTCACAATATACATTTTATTCCTGTAACATTACTAGAAGTGGGTTAATTATTTTTAAATGTATTTTTTCACCAGTCTGGTCTACCTATTATCAATAGCATATATGTAATTTTGATAAGATTTCTTTAAAAAAAGACACCTATCTCTAAACATTTTATTTCCTGATTAGGTTAATCGTTAAATCAATTTTTCCTTCCAAAATTTCCATTTTCAGCAGCATTTCCCAAACTGTTTAATTGGCGGACCAGTACACTATTTTCTGAATTGCACCAGGGTCCAATGGCAGATTATTTAATTATATTTTCTTTTTATTTGACCATAAATATTCATGTTGTACTGATCAGACACCTAAATCTCGTGGAAACTCGTGGTCCGCAGAACACCTTTTAGGGAACGCTGATTTACAAGACATTATATTTTTACTTTAAATATTTTTTTATTTTAATAAAGTTTCTTTTTTAATATTCCAAAATTAACAGTCTGGCTTTCGAATTAATGCAAGATGGACAAATGAAGAGTTACTTCTTGCAGTTCAAGGTAAAATCAATCCAAATAACTTAAAGGGCTTAATTAATTTATTTGATGCTTACATATAGAATTTCATTTTGATTAACATATTATTTATTGAAAAAATGTTCCTAAATCATTTCAGGTGTGAGAAAGTATGGAAAAGACTTCAAAGCTATAGCGGAGGTGATTGGCAACAAAACCGAAGCTCATGTTAGAAGTTTCTTTGTTAACTTTCGGCGCCGTTATAATTTGGATGAAGTCTTAGGAGAGTATGAAGCAGAACATGGCAAGTCTGAGTGGTCCAAGTCTGACAGTGGGAAAGAGGAAGAAGATGATGTTAAAGAAGCAGAAATTAAGGTCTGTAACAAATTTATATTGACAGAGTCAGTATGGATAAATGACATGTATTTATATGATTTGCATTTAAAAGTTATGGTCGTGATTAACTCAATTCAGATATAATTTTTATTTCCAATTATTGGTCTTTAGTTTATTTTTTATGTTTGTGTACTTTCATCTAATTTTTTGTGTTCCCAGATGGATGTGGACTCAAGTGAGTCTACTGTCAATGGCAAGGCAAACACCCCACCAGACAGCACAGTTTCTGTGGAAAGTCCAAACATTCTTAAACCTATAAATGCTGCAAACAAAGACTCAGGAGATGGAAATGAGGCTACATCTACCTCAAAGTAAGCAGTCTATGGTGGATAGGAGCGTTCTTCTGCTACTGGCAGGTGCTTATAAGTCAGGTGCTAGATTAAGTATCTTTTCTGGTAATTCTTTTATGAAGATGATTGGTTTCATGGGTGAAATTTCATCATGATGTAGATATGATTCGGCTGTTGTAGAGTTGAAAAGGTAGCATTTTCCATTATTTATTTGCTTACATACATATATTAGCATTTTTTATGAGATTTATAAAATGTCGCATTTATTTATCTTTATCATTGGAAATAACATTTTAAAGGTTGCATTAAAAAAACTACTTACTCTGATTATTGTATTTTGCAAACAACAGTAAATTAACATAGATTTAATCTCTTTACAGAATGACACCAGATCAGACAGCAAATAAGGAGGATGCTACTGTCTTGCCATTGTTATCTGTATCTGATGTATTAGTGACACCAGCCCAAGCAGTGACTGTTGCTAGTGGTGCTGGGCATTAACCATGCTTATTAGAAAACTCCATACTATAGCTGTATGGAAATATGCATTTATGAGTTTCATTTCTTACTGGTCATATTTAAAGAAACATACACTAAAGGCAACAATTTTACAATATTGTTGTAGAAATTTGCTCAAAAATTTTACAAATGTAAGCTTTGTAAAACCTTTGATATTTTAATAGGAATGTGAAAAAGTTGTTGCCCATTTTTGATATTTTAATAGGAATGTGAAAAAGTTATTGCCCATGTTAAATGAATATTTACTAAAGAATTGTTCATGGACATTAATACATGCAAAGTTTTAAAAGACCAGACTAGAGTTTTAGAATTTTATATAATGGAGCTTTCATTCTTTTTTTTTTAAAAATTGCTTTTTCTACATATATAATGACATGCATTAGTTGAGGATCTAACAAAGCCAATTTTTTAGGCTAGCAGGCAAAGAAGGGTGTTCTTTGTGCTGTATAAAATTCTAGAGATTCAATAGTTTTGATGGTAGGATTATGGAATGTAAATACATAGCTAAGATATGCTATATGACATTTAAATAATGTAATATATAAATATAAAGAATATTTGTTTTTTGTGTGTATAAATTTGCTTTGGTCAACAGCATCACAAGATGTAATTATTATGAGCAAGTATTTTATTGCAAATGGTACAATAAGTAATCTGTATAATGCAAAGAATAGTTTGAAATTGTTACTTTATCCAACAGTTGACAGTTAAAAAAATTTTTTTTGCATTCTAACACTTTATGTCCACATAAAGCCCTTAAATACTCTCCTTCACTGCGTACACAGCACACATTTTAACATGTTATCTTTCTTAAAGATATAAATTATAAACTACAATTTAAAAAAATGTACAGTCAAATTTTCAGTTCCTTGAACGCTGAAATTGCAATTTTGTTGGCCAGGGACTCTTCAGATTAATTTGGAAGTATTTGAGTTGTAATTAGTGATCTGTTTATGTTAAATTTAGTAATACAGATTTCTGTTTGAAATAATTCTGTGAAATAAATAGTCCTTCTTGACATTTACTTTCTAAGATCTAATATTATGATGTTTCAAATTTCTGAAGAAAAAACGTGTTGATATACATGTTGAGGGTTTTTACTATACCTGTATACTGCTATGTGGATATAAAGTGTCGTGCCCCCCCCCCCCCCCCCCCTCCCCCCCCCCCCCTGCCATCTGCCTGTTCATCTTGCTTCATTGGTTATTTAGGGCTTCTAGCAACCTAACTCTCATACTGTTTTATTTTATACTAACGGTAAAATTCTTGTAAAACATAACTCTTCTTTATGAAGAAATCCAAATGTTTTTATTTTTATGCTTTCTTTGCTAAGTTTTGAGAGTTAGAAAGATAACATGGATTTCCAATATTTCACAAAATGGTTGAAGATGATTATTACATTATTAGAACATCGGAAGTTAAGCATGTAACCCTGACCATGTGGATGGCAGTTAACTTGACAAAAATGTACCAAGTAGGGTTGCACAGATAGATCATCAAATAATCGTGATCTGCCCTTTGATAAATCCTTTTCGTGGCTGGAGGTCTATTTGACCTACTTCTCGTCGACCTATAGAGCAGAAACTTGGCAATTACACATAGACTTGTTGCCGATGAGCACACATTCTGTCAAATTTTCAGCCCCACAAATCAAGAAGATGAATGAAATATATTGATTTATTGAAATAAAATTCCCAATAACTGCACTAAATGAAATTCTTTTTTTTTTTAAATATATCGCAAGTGCGTAATATTTTCTTTGTTTTTCTGAAATAGTTAGTGAAATAAATCTGTGGTGTAAGAGCATATGGGTCATTAGAATATTAATATAGTTCAGGGCGTGAAAAAAAAAAGTGATTGAGAGCCTTGGGGGGAGCACTAATTGGGATTCTTATAAAGTGTGTTACTTGTATGCATGTTTTGTCAAAATGTCAGCCCCACCCCTCACTGCTCGATATTACATTTTATAAAGGATTTATACGAAAAACTTTTTTTAGGGGCCGTTTAATTTTACAGGTGAACAGATTTGCAGAAAATGCTTTCTAAATGTATGTGTATTGGTAAATCCAGATGATTTTAAATAGGTTAGGCAGGAGTAGGCTGAGACAACTTATTAGCTCTAGACTCTTGGGATGAATTTTATTATACGGTAATTAGTGTCATCTGTCACAGTATTAGTACCGGTAATTAAGTCTAACTGCACAAGAACATTTCGTGCCAGAATCGGTCTCATCAGCCATTGCGCATCCACAGCCAAGTTCACATTTAGCATATACAATGATTAAGGCAGTCATAGCCGATTTCGACTGATGAACTATAAATATAATCAAGTCTTAAAGGTTTTTAAGCAATGATGATGTGTTATAATTTAAAAAAAAAAGGTTTTTTGAGGCCCTTAAAATTTTATATGTAAATCTGTGATGTAAGAAAGTATTTATAATTTTAAGTATTTTTTTTATATTCCTGTTGTAGGTGTGTGGGTAAAGTCATGTCATCCTGTTGCTGGAAAGTAGAGAATGGTTTAAGTTTAATAAAAAGGATTAAGTTTAAGCATTTCTTATTGCTTTTTAACTTGTTTTCATTATTCCATTTAAAAAGTCTCTACATATATTAATTGAAATATAAATGTGTATTAAGAATTATTGATTGTAAATAACAATACTTTTATTATGTTCTGGTACTTAATTAAAATAATGAAAAATAAAATCTTTACACATTAAATGCATTTCATAAGATGTATAATAAATAGTTTTGATGTTAAAAAAAATTCCATAAAAATCATCCATTATGAAATCTCAACCCTCTTTCAACTTAAAATTCAAGCAATTGGATGCATACATTCTTTTGTAAAAAGTAATTTTATCCTCATAAATATCTTGAGTGAAAGTTTTCCTTGAAATTTGAGTTTATGCCGTTTCAGGTATAGTGTTTTCAAGTTAATAATTATGGCTTCTATTGAAAAAATATAATAAAGAAAAGTATTAGTTCAGGATCTGGTTAATCACACTGAAAGTGTGAAAGCAGAAGAGACAGCAATTTTCAGGGATTAATATATGATTGTGAATCAATTTAGTGTCTATCTCTGGTAATCTTAAGAAGGGTCAAGCTTGTTAAACATTAGTGAAATTATTTAACAATATTAGTGATCTAACTTTACAATAAAAGTGATCCAATTTCCATAAAAACTGTCATTGCAATATACAAGAAATCTGCATGTTGAACTAATTATAATATTGTATGATTTATTGATTTAGAAGGTGTTTCCATTATTATAGTATAGTGATTTAAGAAAGGAAGAATACGTTTGTTGAAATTATAAATGGTCTTAATTCTTAATCTGTCTCATTTTTCATGTTTATCATTTAATTCCTGAAGATTGGAATGGATTCTAATGTGACTACATGAGTTAAATTATGAGTTAATCATTTTTAACATTCCTTGATGTAGTTGGAGGCTTTGAGAAATCTCTGGCTAAATTCTTTAAAAAACTACTACTGATCATTAAAGATATGACATATAAATAAAAAGATTAACATTTTTTCCGGCCAGTAATTTTTAATCAAGGCAAAGTAACAATTACCGTACAAAGGAAAGAGACTACAATTTTAGTACAGATACCAAAATTGAAATTCTTTGAATTGTATGATTATTGTTTTAAAATAATGCACACCAGTGTTTCGCAAACAAAGAATATCATCTTAATTGACTTTTGAAAGTAGATAAATTAACAAGTTAATTTGAAAGAAATTTTCATTCAATCTTCATTATGATTATTGTACCGTATTATTTAATGATAAACTGACTTTTTGTGTGCCTTGTGCTGTAAAAATATGCATTTCAAAGCACAAATGACTTAACACATTAACAGCTAATTACACAAAGTTCTCAAACCAAGAACATTTTGACGCTTTGGTACTCATTATTTAAATACAAATAGTGGTGTTTTTTGTTGTTGTATGTCATATATTTTATGATATATGTAAAATACAGAAAGGTGCCATATGTGTGAACAAAATTTTCTTTTAAATGCATATCTTGAACTTGAATTAAGTTGAATGAGAATTCAAATAACTTTTTTCTTTAAAATATGATGACCTAGTTAACGTACATCGTTACTATGTTTGAACCACAGCTCTCACAAGATTTTTTCTGTAGCAGATTTATTATTGATCAATTGCTCTACTTGTTACGGTTGATTTTCTGCCTGTTATACAAGACATTGGTGAAATATAATTATTAATAATATAAATGTAAGTATTTATATTATATTAAACAAATTAGCGGTTTGGCTACCAGTATAAAAATTTTACCATAAATTTAGGATCAATTATCTTTAAGGACATCAGTAAAATAGCATATTTTCCATGTGCGAACCTTAACTACAATGTACTTTATTCACTAATTTGTATTTTCATTTATGACTAAATTTGATAGTGATGTAAATTAAAAATAATATTCCAAAATGCTTGTGCAAATATGACATTAGATTAACTTATTAAAATCTTTTTGCACTGAATTAATATGGCTCTTTCAAGTCTTTCCTCAATTCCCCATTATTTTATGTCATTGCTTTTAAATTAAAACTCATCTATTGCGCCGGTTTCTATTCGATGCATATATTTCATGATATATATAGGCCTATGTATATAATTATTTAAATCATACCATAACACAAATTTTTATCTTTTCTTTCTACTGGAATTAGTACCATCGAAAAAATATTCCAGATAAAACACTAAGATTTAAATAAAATTCACTAATAGTAAAATACTAGTAGTTTAGAAAATAACATTTCTTTTACTGGTACATTTTTTTAAAAGTAAAGCCATGACAACCATGTGCAAAACCCTGAATATTACCTTCAAGCAAGCTCAATTTGAACAGTCTGATGAATCAAACTGTTATTTTATTTTGCTATGCTTAATAAATTAAATAAAATTCATTTTTGTACACACAAAAGGGCACAAGTTTGTTAGTTTGTAACAGTCATGCCTAAAAGCAGCTTTTATTTTTTGCAACATGGAATTCAAAAAAAAAAGGAGAAAAAAAAAAGAGTCTACAAATGTTTGTTTTCTGCTAAAAAGTCACAGAAATTCCACTTATTTACAAGTCAAAACTGCAATTAACATAGGTATAACAAATCCCTGTGGGGAGAAAAGGTAAAAATGTAACAAGAGCAACAAAGAGAACCCACATCTAAACAAGTATAGTATCAGGAGATACTGAAATACTTTTCACAAATTGAAGATGTTCAATTGTATAATGTTATTTTGGGTAACACCTATCTACTTAAACATGGCTGTAAGTTACTATAAGGTATAATAAGTAAAAGTGATGAATAGTCTTTAAAAAAGCTATTTATGAAACAATATATATATAAATATCGGGACAGCAACCATTTTTTATGTTACAATATAATATTAATATAATAAAACATTTCTATGACTGAACTGCATAAATAACTTCGCAGTGGAAACTAATAATATAGGCCTATATAATACAATATAAGGGTGTAAGCGTGACAACAGATTTGTCCTATCTATTTTACAGTTTACAGCAAAATGTTATTGTAAAAATATTTACAAACTTTAAACGATCTATGTCAGTGCTCCTCGGTATGGCCATTGTGGTCCAGGAGCTCTGAAAAAACTTAGTAGAAAAAACACAAAAAACAATCAATAAATTGGGCATGGGTCCTGTTGCAATGTGGATGGTCACACAGACACTTAGGAAGCACTGATATATTTAATTTACATCCAAATTAATAGATTACACGATTAGCCTAGATACAAGAAGAAATAAATTATTTGTACAGTGTGTAAGAACTAAGTACATTTTATTACCTTGGGAAACAACTTTATTTTCCCTTTGTCTTTTAAACACTAGAGTTCAATGTCAATGACCCAGATGTAATGGCCGAAAACCCTATTTTAAATTAAATAATAAAAAACGCTGCAAGTAAGAGAATCCCCAAGGACATACATCATACAAAAAATTAAAATATGTGAATATGTTGGTGGATTGACACTCATCTTAAATTGCTCTTATTTACATCTTAATACTTATGGAACTTCTGTTCATTCCATAAAAAGTAACAAACTAACAATAAATTAAATATTCAACAACGGTAGAACTACAA